TTAATTCATGATTTTTACCAAGATTCCAGTTTTCAATATTGACTCGGTTGTTCCAGCGCGCTCGATTAAAGTCCTTTGATGCGCCAGACCAATAAAAATTTATATAGATTTGGGAGTTTATTGAAAAAAATTTAATTCATGATTTTTAACAAGATTCCAGTTTTCAATATTGACTCGGTTGTTCCAGCGCGCTCGATAAAAGTCCTTTGATGCGCCAGACCAATAACAATTTATATAGATTTGGGAGTTTATTGAAAAAAATTTAATTCATGATTTTTACCAAGATTCCAGTTTTCAATATTGACTCGGTTGTTCCAGCGCGCTCGATTAAAGTCCTTTGATGCGCCAGACCAATAAAAATTTATATAGATACGGCGGTTTATTGAAAAAAATTTAATTCATGATTTTTACCAAGATTCCAGTTTTCAATATTGACTCGGTTGTTCCAGCGCGCTCGATAAATGTCCTTTGATGCGCCAGACCAATAAAAATTTATATAGATTTGGGAGTTTATTGAAAAAAATTTATTTCATGATTTTTACCAAGATTCCAGTTTTCAATATTGACTCGGTTGTTCCAGCGCGCTCGATAAAAGTCCTTTGATGCGCCAGACCAATAAAAATTTATATAGATTTGGGGGTTTATTGAAAAAAATTTAATTCATGATTTTTAACAAGATTCCAGTTTTCAATATTGACTCGGTTGTTCCAGCGCGCTCGATTAAAGTCCTTTGATGCGCCAGACCAATAAAAATTTATATAGATACGGCGGTTTATTGAAAAAAATTTAATTCATGATTTTTACCAAGATTCCAGTTTTCAATATTGACTCGGTTGTTCCAGCGCGCTCGATAAATGTCCTTTGATGCGCCAGACCAATAAAAATTTATATAGATTTGGGAGTTTATTGAAAAAAATTTAATTCATGATTTTTACCAAGATTCCAGTTTTCAATATTGACTCGGTTGTTCCAGCGCGCTCGATAAAAGTCCTTTGATGCGCCAGACCAATAAAAATTTATATAGATTTGGGGGTTTATTGAAAAAAATTTAATTCATGATTTTTAACAAGATTCCAGTTTTCAATATTGACTCGGTTGTTCCAGCGCGCTCGATTAAAGTCCTTTGATGCGCCAGACCAATAAAAATTTATATAGATTCGGGAGTTTATTGAAAAAAATTTAATTCATGATTTTTACCAAGATTCCAGTTTTCAATATTGACTCGGTTGTTCCAGCGCGCTCGATAAAAGTCCTTTGATGCGCAAGACCATAAAAAATTTTTATAGATTCGGGAGTTTATTGAAAAAAATTTATTTCATGATTTTTACCAAGATTCCATTTTTCAATATTGACTCGGTTGTTCCAGCGCGCTAGATTAAAGCCTTTGATGCGCAAGACCATAAAAAATTATTATAGATTCGGGAGTTTATTGAAAAAAATTTAATTCATGATTTTTACCAAGATTCCAGTTTTCAATATTGACTCGGTTGTTCCAGCGCGCTCGATTAAAGTCCTTTGATGCACCAGACCAATAAAAATTTATATAGATTCGGGAGTTTATTGAAAAAAATTTAATTCATGATTTTTAACAAGATTCCAGTTTTCAATATTGACTCGGTTGTTCCAGCGCGCTCGATTAAAGTCCTTTGATGCGCCAGACCAATAAAAATTTATATAGATACGGCGGTTTATTGAAAAAAATTTAATTCATGATTTTTTCCAAGATTCCAGTTTTCAATATTGACTCGGTTGTTCCAGCGCGCTCGATAAAAGTCCTTTGATGCGCCAGACCAATAAAAATTTATATAGATACGGCGGTTTATTGAAAAAAATTTAATTCATGATTTTTACCAAGATTCCAGTTTTCAATATTGACTCGGTTGTTCCAGCGCGCTCGATAAAAGTCCTTTGATGCGCCAGAGCAATAAAAATTTATATAGATTTGGGAGTTTATTGAAAAAAATTTATTTCATGATTTTTACCAAGATTCCAGTTTTCAATATTGACTCGGGGTGGGTCCGAATATGAGAGAATTGATTCGCGAACCGATTCTCGAGAATTGATTCTTGAGAAGCGATTCTTGAGAAGTGATTCTTGAGAAGTGATTCTCGACTATTGTTAACTTCAAAAAAGTCATGTTTGGCGTGCAGTTTGAATAAAATAATTAATTTTTAAATGTTTTAAGCAATTAATTGTCACTTTAGGCGATTTTTTTAATCAAAATGCACGCCTAACATTACTTTTTTTGAAGTTAACCATAGTCGAGAATCACTTCTCAAGAATCACTTCTCGAGAAGCACTTCTCAAGAATCGCTTCTCTAGAATCGCTTCTCAAGAATCAATTCTCGAGAATCGGTTCGCGAATCAATCCTCTCATATTCGGACCCACCCTCGGTTGTTCCAGCGCGCTCGATTAAAGTCCTTTGATGCGCCAGACCAATAAAAATTTATATAGATACGGCGGATTATTGAAAAAAATTTAATTCATGATTTTTCCAAGATTCCAGTTTTCAATATTGACTCGGTTGTTCCAGCGCGCTCGATAAAAGTCCTTTGATGCGCCAGACCAATAAAAATTTATATAGATTTGGGAGTTTATTGAAAAAAATTTAATTCATGATTTTTACCAAGATTCCAGTTTTCAATATTGACTCGGTTGTTCCAGCGCGCTCGATTAAAGTCCTTTGATGCGCCAGACCAATAAAAATTTATATAGATACGGCGGTTTATTGAAAAAAATTTAATTCATGATTTTTACCAAGATTCCAGTTTTCAACATTGACTCGGTTGTTCCAGCGCGCTAGATTAAAGCCTTTGATGCGCAAGACCATAAAAAATTTTTATAGATTCAGGAGTTTATTGAAAAAAATTTATTTCATGATTTTTACCAAGATTCCATTTTTCAATATTGACTCGGTTGTTCCAGCGCGCTCGATTAAAGTCCTTTGATGCGCCAGACCAATAAAAATTTATATAGATTTGGGAGTTTATTGAAAAAAATTTAATTCATGATTTTTACCAAGATTCCATTTTTCAATATTGACTCGGTTGTTCCAGCGCGCTCGATTAAAGTTCTTTGATGCGCCAGACCATAAAAAATTATTATAGATTCGGGAGTTTATTGAAAAAAATTTAATTCATGATTTTTACCAAGATTCCAGTTTTCAATATTGACTCGGTTGTTCCAGCGCGCTCGATTAAAGTCCTTTGATGGGCCAGACCAATAAAAATTTATATAGATACGGCGGTTTATTGAAAAAAATTTAATTCATGATTTTTTCCAAGATTCCAGTTTTCAATATTGACTCGGTTGTTCCAGCGCGCTCGATAAAAGTCCTTTGATGCGCCAGACCAATAAAAATTTATATAGATTTGGGAGTTTATTGAAAAAAATTTAATTCATGATTTTTAACAAGATTCCAGTTTTCAATATTGACTCGGTTGTTCCAGCGCGCTCGATTAAAGTCCTTTGATGCACCAGACCAATAAAAATTTATATAGATTTGGGAGTTTATTGAAAAAAATTTAATTCATGATTTTTAACAAGATTCCAGTTTTCAATATTGACTCGGTTGTTCCAGCGCGCTCGATTAAAGTCCTTTGATGCGCCAGACCAATAAAAATTTATATAGATTCGGGAGTTTATTGAAAAAAATTTATTTCATGATTTTTACCAAGATTCCAGTTTTCAATATTGACTCGGTTGTTCCAGCGCGCTCGATTAAAGTCCTTTGATGCACCAGACCAATAAAAATTTATATAGATTCGGGAGTTTATTGAAAAAAATTTAATTCATGATTTTTAACAAGATTCCAGTTTTCAATATTGACTCGGTTGTTCCAGCGCGCTCGATTAAAGTCCTTTGATGCGCCAGACCAATAAAAATTTATATAGATACGGCGGTTTATTGAAAAAAATTTAATTCATGATTTTTAACAAGATTCCAGTTTTCAATATTGACTCGGTTGTTCCAGCGCGCTCGATAAAAGTCCTTTGATGCGCCAGACCAATAAAAATTTATATAGATTCGGGAGTTTATTGAAAAAAATTTAATTCATGATTTTTAACAAGATTCCAGTTTTCAATATTGACTCGGTTGTTCCAGCGCGCTCGATAAAAGTCCTTTGATGCGCCAGACCAATAAAAATTTATATAGATTTGGGAGTTTATTGAAAAAAATTTTATTCATGATTTTTAACAAGATTCCAGTTTTCAATATTGACTCGGTTGCTCCAGCGCGCTCGGATAAAGTCCTTTGATGCGCAAGACAAATGAAAATTTATATAGATACGGCGGTTTATTGAAAAAAATTTAATTCATGATTTTTACCAAGATTCCAGTTTTCAATATTGACTCGGTTGCTCCAGCGCGCTCGGATAAAGTCCTTTGATGCGCAAGACAAATGAAAATTTATATAGATACGGCGGTTTATTGAAAAAAATTTAATTCATGATTTTTACCAAGATTCCAGTTTTCAATATTGACTCGGTTGTTCCAGCGCGCTCGATAAAAGTCCTTTGATGCGCCAGACCAATAAAAATTTATATAGATACGGCGGTTTATTGAAAAAAATTTAATTCATGAATTTTACCAAGATTCCAGTTTTCAATATTGACTCGGTTGTTCCAGCGCGCTCGATTAAAGTCCTTTGATGCACCAGACCAATAAAAATTTATATAGATTCGGGAGTTTATTGAAAAAAATTTATTTCATGATTTTTACCAAGATTCCAGTTTTCAATATTGACTCGGTTGTTCAAGCGCGCTCAATTAATGTTCTTTGAGGCGCAAGACCATTAAAAATTTATATAGATCGGGGGTTTATTGAAAAAAATTTTATTCATGATTTTTACCAGGATGTCAGTTTTCAATATTGACTTGGTTGTTCCAGCGCGTTCGATTAAAGTCCTTTAATGCGCCGGAACATTAAAATTTAATAATGATACAGCGGTTAAAAAAAAAAATTATAACATGATTTTCAGCAAGAATCCAATGTTGTAGGGTCTGTGGAAACGCGCCCCGCCAGCATTATACTCAAATTGGCGCCGATTTGCCCTCTGGTGTCAGACCGGTCAGCCCTACGTGAAAGGAGTGTACAAAGCGGAGTTAAGGATTGGCCGAGCTTTAAACTCATCTACACATCTACACATCTACATTGATTTGATATCTATACATAGACGAAAGTCTTGTTGGACGAAAGATTCAGAAAAACTCAACATACACTGTCCGTGGATCTGAAAATTTATACTTTTTCATATTGTCTTAGTAATTTGTTTTATTTAGCTTAAGGGTTTAGTCAAAAGTTAAATGCATTAATTTGTAATCCTTTCTGTACACGCTTATTGTTTTGTTTTTAGTGTTTTTATTTGTGAGAATTGGATACATATTGGATTGGATTATAATGAATTTTTAGAAACCAGACGGTGCCGTGGCCGTGTATTTATGTGCAAACTAAATTTTTAATAAGCATGTGATACGCCAAAGTCATTTCGTCGGTCGCATTCGGACGAAAATCACCATCATGTTGTTCAGCGCGGCCCGAAGATGTCTAATTTCACGCCAGAGCAGCAGAGTTGTTGCCAAACTTTTTTCGTCTAGTCTGTGTCCTCCGAAGGGCCCGTCCGGGCTTTTGGCTGTTAGCAGGACTTGCAGCCCCATTCGGTGCGACACATGTCATCACCGACAACTCGCAGTCCTCGAGAATTTTTCCTCCCATTATTTTACCACTTCTTGCCAAGTAAACAAGAGAAGAGAAAGTGAAGCCGGTCTTCGGTGTCTGCAGAGCAGAGCCATCAGCAGTGCGCAGCTGGTTGACAGGGCTCCTGACGGAATCCGGCCATACCTGAGGCTCATGAGGATTGATAGGCCCATAGGTTGAACACTTATATAATTAATTGCAATAGAATGATTAACAAATTATTTTGCAGGGTCTTGGCTGCTGTTTTGGCCTTGTGGCTGGTCGATAGCAAGCAGTGCTGCACCAGGTTGTCTGCCCGACTTGGGCATGCTGGCCCTTTTTGGTGCTGGGGCTGTGATTATGAGAGGCGCAGGCTGCACCATCAACGACATGTGGGATAAAGACATAGATGGAAAGGTTCTGAAATAAAAAAGTAGAAAATGGAGCAGATGTTTGTAAAGTTTGTATACCTTTAGGTGAGTCGAACAAAAGACCGGCCTCTGGTCAGTGGAGCGCTGTCCCAAGGAGATGCCCTAGTTTTTTTGGCTGGACAGTTGGGCCTCGGCTTAGCGATTTTACTTCAGCTTAATTGGTACAGCATTGTCCTTGGTGCTAGTTCATTAGGTAAGAGGGAAATGGTTTATAAACAAAGAATTTCTTGTTTTAAAACTGGATTTTTTAATTTGAATTTATAAATTATATTTATGAACTAATAAAAACTGTGTTCCCATAGGTTTGGTTGTCGTATATCCTCTTATGAAGAGAGTCACCCACTGGCCTCAGCTGGTGCTAGGAATGACTTTTAATTGGGGCTCCCTTTTGGGCTGGTCAGCAGTTCAGGGATCTTGTGACTGGTCAGCTTGTTTACCTCTGTATGTGGCTGGCGTTTGCTGGACCATCATTTACGACACAATTTATGCTCATCAGGTTTAAATAGTAAAATAATTCAATTGAATAAATATTGACTCTAAAAATCAACAGGACAAGGCGGAAGATCTTATGCTAGGAATCAAATCAACAGCCATTAGGTTTGGAGACAACACAAAATTGTGGCTAACTGGCTTCGGAGCTGCTATGGCTGCGAGCCTGGTTTTGTCAGGACTGAATTGTGACCAAACTTGGCCGTACTACCTGTCTGTTGGAGTCATAAGTGCACACATTTCGCAACAGGTAAAGAATTGCACAAATTGCTCTTGCTTTATTTATTCAATTGCTATAATTTTTAGTTGTACACGCTGGACACTTCGAAAGCAAATGACTGTGCCAAGAAGTTCATCTCAAACCACTACGTTGGACTTCTGCTGTTCTTAGGAATTGTGTGTGGAAATTATATGAAGAATAGAACCACCCCTAAAGTCACGGTAGAAGTTGATACCAAAGATAAAGTCAAATTATCTATTCCAGTAGCCATGTGAATCGTTAGGAATAAAACTTGTTTTTTAAATGTCAATTTAATTGCTTTTAATTTTCTCATTTAATTGAGTGAAGAGGAATCAATGAATTTTATGATTAAATAAAATTTATATTTTGCCAACTAGTTCTTTACAAAATTATTAGGTAACTTCAAAAAAAAAAACAAGCAAAATAATTCACAATTAAAAAACTAATTAATAATTTAAATTATTAACTTTTTTATTAGCATTTACAAACTTTCTGAACTCTTTATGCCTCGGGCTTTTTCGTATCCTTCTTGAGACAAAAGCTGGTCCTTTGCCTTGTGACTATTTGCAATCGAGGGTAAGACGATGGCCAAGTATCCCTCAGACAAAGGGCGACTGATGACCAAATCAGGCTCGTCGATGATCTTTTCATTGATTTCAACAAGTTTCCCGTTCAAGCAACTACAAATGGCATAACTTGTTCCGTCACTGCATTCGATGAAGCAAATTGTGGAGCTCGGCTGAAGAACTTGAGCGCCGTGCTTTCCTTTGCCGGAAACCTTATTTTGGAGTCGGTCGACATTTCTTGAGACCTCAAAATTGAACTTGTCGATTTTCTTTTTGTGCAAAAGGATAGGATGCGTTGGAGCCAGAGTGACCAAGCAGATTTTGTTTGAGTGAAACAAAATGCACAAATCCTCGCCTTCAATTCCGCTGGCGTTCAGTGCGTAACGAGGGCTGTAATACCTTTCGGTCACATTAAGGATCTTTTCAGGCCTCTCAAAGCTGTCCTCGATGGGTGGAGCAACAAAGAGTTCTGTGGAACCCATTTTCTTTTTATTACTCGGAACTATTCTTCTTCAACTCCTCCAGATTTTCCAAGATCTTCGCCTGCTTTTCTTTGGCCTTTTCGTGGTTTTTCTTTCTGAAGATTTCTCTCTAAAAAAATAAAAATTTATCTATTATTCTATTTTCATAAACATATTAATATTCTTACTTCAGCTTTTAGGCAAACATTCATCTGCTTGTATAGGGAGCTGCACTGGCCAAAAATTTTTCCAATTTTGCGCTTGAAGAGGAAAAATACAATCAACAAAATTAAAAAAAATGCAGTTTTGCTTTAAATTTAGCAATATTAACATTAGTTTTTAACAATTATTAATTGTTAAAACAAGAGGCAATTTTTTTTTTTAAATATAAATATGTAAAATTACATACCTCTTGAAAGCAATTTTGGAGCTCCGTAATGATTATATTGCACTCGTCAGTGTGAAGGTGAGCTGAAAGATCTGGATGCATTCCGCAAGCAACACCTGGTCTCTGTCCTATTGTGCAAATAGAGATCAAAGTCCGTTAAAAATATTATAATTATATCTAATTTATTAGTTTCAAATTAATCATATCCGTTTTTATCAGTAATAAACGTTGCTTTTCGAAACATCGTTACATAATACACAAACACACAAAATCATATTTTTTTTATGCTATGATACTCTTTTCTTTTCCATTAATTTTTAGAGAGAAGAAAATGAGCTATATTGAAATCTCGATATCTTTTTTTTGCGATGCATTAAAAATCTTACTGTCCACTAAAAATCAAGAAGAATGTCCATATAACACAAGATCAGACACCGCGTTGTCCTTGTCCTGCAGTCCAGAAAACCCAGGTGATCTTTGTTGTTTTAGTTGAACATAAATTTCAAGCATAGATGGCTCTGCTCACTGCAACGCGCGAAAAGTAGAATGCAGAGCACAAATAATAGCCGTATGTGTGCTGGTACTGGTAACTCTTGTCGCAGGGTAAGCTATAATTTACAACGCTTTGCATGATCTGTATAAAGCTAAAGCTGTCTTTGTAAATTTTTAATTTAAAATTTAGTTGAAAGATCTGGCTGTATGGTGCCCACCAAAGAAAAAACAACAGCCGTGCTCATAAGTACGACTTGACAAATTTTTTATTTGATATTTTAATATTTTTTTACAATTTATGGTCCACATTAAGAAGCAATTTCTGCATTTCTAATCAATATTAGCTAGACTCTGGATCAGAAGATATTTGACAAAAAAATAACAATTTATTTGTTCTAATCACATAGCAAGCGTTTGGTTTAACACAATCAAAAGGTGACATTTTTTCCTTATTTTTGGAATAAGCATATAATATTTTATTTCCAACAGATTTACAGATTGCAATATTGAATTTTTAGATTTCAAAACATAACAAAAAATAGTACCATAACATTTATTTCCCATTAAATGGAAAAGATTAAAATTTCCTGGACCTATTAGAGAGCAGCTTCCCAACTTTGCACTTGGGAAACTTGACTATTTGTTGTCATGGTTGCTCCTTTATCACACAGTTAAGAAGGCGCGGACCAGAGAATTTAATTCCAATTGCCCCAATGGGGGCAGTGACAAGAATAGAGAGCACAGATATCGTCAGCACCTGCTCTCCTAGGTGAATGACTTCTGCTGATGCACCAGTTTGTCTAGCCAAGTCCAAAGCAATTGGACCCAAGAGAGCCTTAAAATTTCAATTTTAATTTTACTACTGAAACAAATATTAAAACTCACTTGCACAGTTGCTTTAGGGAACCAGGCAATGGCTACAAAAAGTCTCTCCTTCATTGAAAGAATGCCATTGACTGAAATCAGCCAAACCGTAGCAACTCGAAGCTATAACCGTAATTTCATTTAAGATTCAATGTGCATAAACTTATTTTTTACTAACACTGAGGCCGATGAGTAAAACGGCAAGGCCAAGAAGCACGGTCGATCCTTCAAGCTCAGAGAATTTTATTTCAGTTCCAATCAAACCAAATAAGATTGGTTGGAATATTAACCAGGTAGTCGAGAAAAATTCAACTACTGTTTCCGTTATCTAGAAATTTGCATTTTTTTTTTGTGTTATAAAAATTATAAAAATGTTACCTTGTCATTGATAACATTCGACTGCCAACCACTAGAAGCAAAAAATGCAGCCACAATTAGCCCCAGCGGACCTGCACCTCCAAATCCGACTCGCTCGCTGCCGAAAACAGCCAGAATTCCACCTCCAAGTAATAGGAATATTCTCCATATTCTTATATTTTTCTGCAAAATTTAAAAATATAATTATAATGACTCAAGCAATCACTTATCTACACACTTCTTTGCCATGCGGAATATAGATCAGAAGTAAACCGTAGCAAATGCCAAAAATTATTCCAAGTGTTATTTCTATTGGCCCCTGCAAGATCTCCATAGTCAAACCTCCAGCTATGATTAAGCAGATAATTATTTGTTGATATTTATTAAGCAGAAAATTTACATTGTGTAGAAAATATCATTCCGAGAAATATTCCGAACAGAGAAATGGCAGCAATGTCGTCCAAGCTGGACGCTGCTATGACTAAAGTTGATATTCCTTTGTCCTCTCCGTAGCCTTCTTCTTTTAAGGCAAGGAGGGACGGAACCACCACTGCCGGAGAAACGGCGGCCAACACACAACTATATTCAAATTTAATTATGTGCTTTTTATTATAAAAATATCTTACCCCAGGAGAATTCCCCAGAGCCAAGGCATCCCCAGGAGCAGGTGTGCTGCAAACATTGCAGTCACTGCCTCAACTAAACATGGGCAGAAGGAAAGTCGGATGACCATGCAACTGAGGCGCTTGAGCGCCTGTGGGTCTAACCCTAGTCCTGCTTTGATTAGAATCACTACCATGGCAAGTTTTCTGAAAATGGAGCATTTCAATTCACTAATTTTTATTTAAATTTGTATTTTGAAATGTACCTCAGACTAGATACAGCTTCCAAGTATGAATCCTCCAAGTAAAACGCGCCTACGTTTCTAAGTAGAATTCCAGAGAGCAGCATCCCCAAAAGTGGTGGCATTTTGCACAAACTAAGCTATAAATTATACAAATACCGTTTCAATCAATCACATTAAATTTAGAGAAATCAAACTTACTAAAAAGCCGGCTGCAAAAGCAACAAATGTCAACATGACCAGTTGAAAAATTCCTCCGTCCGGAGGCATTGCCGTGTTTCCCAAAAGCGAGATCAGAGCGCCAAAGGTCAGGAGTATCATCACAACTATCATAATCAGGGTCAACAAGGCGGAGGGTTGAGGACACAAAACTTCAGGGCGGATTGCACCCCACAGTCTTGAAAACCATCCCTTTGATTTCGTCTGATCTGCTCCATCGTCAAAGTCCATTTCCACATCTTTCGACTCGATTGGCTTTTCCTGCATTTTGTCAGGACAAATTTCAGAGCTGTCCTCGCCTGCTGGGTTGTCCATTTTTACTATACTTGATCTCCTACGAAAACAAAAAACAAAGTGAAACAAAGCAAAAGAGCTTGAGGGACAGACAAAGCAATTAAGGGACGACCTCTACTGAACTCTTAAATTATTGTTTCAGATGCAAAAGGTTAAATTCCATTTGCATATATATAAAAGGTTGTTTGTTTTCTCTGGCTTAATAGGTGGTGCTGCGTGTGAAGCAGAATAGATAAGAAAAGTCCATAATTTTGTTATCATACATACCGACATAATTCAAAAAAAGAGATTTATATGAGTAATTATTTTTTTTAATTTATAAAGCTAAAGTTTTAGAAAAATGAGATACATAAATGAACGAATCAAAAACAAGCTACACACATAATTATCTGACTGAAAAATTAGCTAGATTTAAAATAATACTACGAAGAAAACAGAATTAATGTACATACATTGTATGTATTATAAAAATCGATAAAAAGTAACACATTTTTTGATTTGTAAATAATTTCCATTAATATAAATAAGCTACACCGATTTAAAAATTATAATATTAATAATGCTTACAATTGGAGAAAAAAAACAGTAAAAATAAAAGTCCTCCTTAAAATAATTATTCACAAAAAAATTATGATAGTTGATTTTGTAATTATTGGAAAAGGTTCAATTCAGTTAAATGGTGGTGAGTGTTTACCTGTGGATAAGTATCAAAGCCTAGGTTGAAAATTTTCAAATTAAGTTACATAGAGAAGAATTAATTTGTTCTTGTTGCTACATCTTCACTCTTATCCTTGCCCCCCATTAATCCTCCGATTCCTCCGGCAAAAGCTTGCATTTGGCTGCGGTGCCTCGGCCTTCAAATTCCTCAAAACTATAATATGAATCGGAGATCCTGTTTTGCCAGAGCCTGCGGTCGTTCTCTACATTACGTCCTGCCCGACGTCGCGTCCGTGCCGTCCGTGCGGCTGCGGCGTGCTGGCCGTGTTGCTGACTGTTTTTCTGTTTTCATGTTTTTGTTATTTATCGATCTGTTTTTTTTGTGGTCCTGTAACTGGTGTGTAGAAGAAGGACCTAATGCAGATTATCGAACACTTATTTATTATAATTAATATTAATTCTTTTAAAGAATAAATATCATTTTAGTTATTGATTTATACTATTTAACAGGTTAAATATTATAGATTTCTCGCTTATTATCTTCCTCTCTCTTATTATAGTCTATTCGTTTAATCTCCTTTATGCACATTCCCTTCACAGCTGTGCACAGAAAATATAAACACGTGTGAGCACGTCCATGCCGCTTTTGCTCTACAAAATTTGCAAGGATATTATTTGAAAATATTAGATTATTGCCTGTGTTTCCACGCTCGTTTCCTTGAAATTAATCGAATTCCGTTATCTCTTGACCTTAAATTTGTTAAGGTATCGCCATGCAAATGAAACAGACTGGATTTCTTGCTGGCCTTAGTGAGTGCTTTTTCCGTTTCACATTTTTTTTTTATTGATTTTTATCGCAACAAAATTGATTTTTTTTTCTTAATTTACTTTTCTTCAGGGAAGCCAATTGAAGAAAATGCTGTGAAACCCGCCAGAAAGAGAAAGTTGGACCCTGATAATCTGTCAAGTAAAGATGTGTGGCACACCCGACGCAAAAAGGGCCGACTAGTTGTTCGAAATTTGCCTTTTCAGGTATAAATTTCTTTTTATTTTCTACATATTGTCCGAACATTTTTTCAAATTCATTTTCCACTTAGGTCACAGAGGAAAAACTAAAGGAACATTTTGAGAAGCATGGCAAGGTGGTTGAAACAACTTTGCTGAAACGCAAGGACGGAAAGTTAGTTGGCTGTGGCTTTGTTGAGTTTGAGAAGCGAGAGGAAGCCAAAAAGGCTTTAGAAGAATGCAGTGGAAAGCCCTTAATGAGTTAGTACAATTGATAGCTTGTTTGTTTAAAAGAAAACTAATCAAATATAATTTTTAGAGCGCCCCATTGTGGTCGATTGGGCTGTCCCGAAAGGAATATACAGAGGTATTCAAAAGAAGGAAGATATAAAAGAGGAACCAAAAGATTCAGAAGTCAAAGAAGAGCCTGACAGCGCTGAGGAGGAGGACGAAAAACCAAGGTATTTAAAAAATTGCAGTTTAAAAAAAAATACAGTTTGATCTTTTCTTTTAAGCTTTGACGAAACTAAAGATGAAGATGACGTTTCAAGTGAAGATGAATCAGAACAGGAAAACTCAGATGAAGCTGATTCTGGTGAGGAATACGAAAGCAGCATCGATTTAGATGAAGACGAAGAAGCCGGGGATGAAGAGGAGGAAAGTGACGAAGAAGATGAAGAGGAACAAGCAAAGCGAAGGCGTCTCAATGATTTAGACGAAGGAAAAACTGTGTTCCTTAAATGTGTACCTTTCTCTGCAACTGAAGAAGATCTCCGTGAGTGTGTTGGAAAGTTTGGGCCAATTTCTTATGCCCTCATTTGCGTCGACCCGGTCACTGAACATTCCAGGGGAACTGCCTTTGTCAAATTTAAGGTAAAGCTTAAATTAAAATCTTGAGGATAAAACATTTATATTTTCTATGAACAGAACAAAGAAAGTGCCGATAAGTGTTTGGAAGCTGGAGCAAGTGACCTCAGGATCGGAACAACTGGAGTGTTGGACCCTCATAGAGCTTTGGACAAAAGGTCCCTGCACAAGAAGTTTGAGGAAAAGAAGGAGGATAAAGTCAAGATGGACGGCAGAAATCTGTATCTGATCAAAGAAGGAGGTAATTTTCTGTCCTAGTTTTTAACCTTCTCCTTTTTAACCATATCTTTATGGCTACAGCTCTGCAAGTAGGTCTAACTTGGAAACGTTTTTGCTTCCAAATTGGGCCTATGAGTTTTAGTAAGTTGTTTAGTTTGCTAGAGCTGGCAGCCAATTATCTCCTAGTCTTTATCTGACCTTCCCCATTTCTCCTATGAATAGTTGTGAAGAGAATAAATGATTTGAATTAATACTTCTATTTTAATCTTTCAAGTGGTCATGGCCGGATCGACTGCTGCGAAAGGAGTTTCAGCAGCGGACATGGCTTACAGACTGCAGCTGGAGCAGTCCAAGAGCCAGATGCTCCGTAACCTCAGCATGGTCGTTTCTCCCCTAAGACTCGCTGTGCACAATTTGCCAGAGAATTATAGCGACCAGGCTTTGAGGAAAATGTTCCAGAAACATGCTCCAGCAGGCGCAAAAATCACTGAGGTAACTTTTCTAGGGATTTATGTAATGAAATTGAATATCATATTTGGATTTGCAGGCTAGGATTATGAGGGATTTGAGGAAAGTTGATGCCAAAGGACAAGGTCTCTCAAAAGGTTTCGCTTTTGTCACTTTCATGAAGCACTCGGATGCGTTGTCAGCGCTGAGAGCTATTAATAACAATCCCAGCATATTCAATCCCAAAAAGGTAATTTTAGGATAAATTTACAAAAGTTTATACAATTTTATTGTTTAGCGCCCTATTGTGAGTTTCTCGATTGAAAACCAAGCTCTGCTTAACGCGAGGCAAAAACGGCTGGAAGCAAGTCGGGCGAAGAATCCAAATTTCCAGGGCAACAGAAAAGACGGAGCAGCTTTGACAAAGAAAAAATTAGTAGAGCACGGAAAGCATGAGTCACAGGAGGCAGATTATACAGGAATCGAGGCGCACCGAACTCAGAAAATCAAATTACCAAACCGTCGAACTCTTCGAGAGCAGGCAGAGGTGCATCGTCGAAGTATCACTACAGAAAAGAAGAAGGTCAAGCGAGAGAGAAAAGCAAAGCAACTTAAACAGGAAAAGGCTAAAAAGAAATTGGTAATTTATTATTTTTACTTTGATGAACTTTTTTACTGACGTTTCTTCATTAAGGAACCAAAACCGAAGGGAAAAGTCCAAATTGTAGACAAAGAAGAGAAAGCCTTTGATTCAATGGTAAATAAGTACAGGAACATGATTTCGGATAAGGATATCAAAAAGTGGTACGAATGATTTGATGACGAAGAATGAAAAACGAAGTGAAAATAAAACAACTAATATTTGATTATTGATAATGATCTAAAGAAATGTAAAAATAATCTATACAATTTATCAATAAAAGTAAAAAATGCTTAAAAAGTAGTGCTCCTCTTCAGCTTCTATGTACGTGACCAAAAAAGGTAAAAGAATAAAAAAAAATTTAAAAAAATCGGCAGTGTTTAACATATATTTTTTGTATTAAAAAATAAAATTTTAGTAAATTTTAAAAACTAATATTTTAAAAAACTTTGTTTTTGTTTAATATGCATGCAGCTCTGTCTATAGGCAGATGCAAAAAAATTGCTTGACCTTCTTTGTTCTGCGGCAAAGACTGGTCGCGCCACCAAACTATCGGTCCGTGAATTACAATCACCCTCGCTCACTTTTCGCGTTGTTTGTTTTGAAATTTCATCGGGCACCGGTGCGTCTAGAAACGTCGATTGCAATTCACTGGATTTCAAGGTACAATTAAATTTCCTACTATTTCAAAGTTTAATTTGGCTAATGAATTTTAAATTTACGGAACTCTTCTACCGTTAAATGAGGTTTGAAATGTTGAAAATAATGAAAATCAACCTCCTGTTTGACCACATGGCTCGCCGGAGCTCGCAAATATTTTTTGTCATTTTTCCACTTTTAAATTTGCTTAACATTTTTTACACTTCGGTTGATTTTTTACGAGAGTATTAAATTATTTTTCATTTGCCATTAAAGCGTTGTAATAGTTCACAAAAACTTATTAATCCATGTTTATTTAGATGTCGAAGCTCCCAGAGCAGCAAATCAATGAATTGAAAATCTTCGTCAACATCCTCAAGTCGAATCCTGCCATAATCCATACACCTCAGCTTGCCTTCTTCAAAGAGTACATCTTGTCCTTGGGCGGAGTGCTTCCTCCAATTGGGCCCGAGGGCAAGCCCTTCGAGCCAACAAAGCAAGAGCAACCAAAATCTGAGCCTGCCACTGAAAAACCGAAGGAGGAAGAGGAAGAACTCGTTGAGAGTGACATTGAGTTGGACACTGAGGGTGTTATTGGTATGATGAATGTTTGGAAACAATAAATTATAACAAATAAAATTTAATTTACAGAGCCTGACAAAGATGAACCTCAGGCAATGGGAGACGAGGACAAGGAAGTGACCGAGGAGGACATGGACAAGGCAAATGAAAAGAAGCGAGAGGCCATTTCTGCCTTTAGCGAGCAGGAGTTTGAAAAAGCCATTGAGCTTTACACTGAGGCCATTCTGCTCAATCCAGGTATTAAAAGTTAACTGAAAATTGGCTGTTTAGTTTTTTCCTGTTAAATTGAGGAAAATTAATTCCAATTTTAGTAAATTTATAAGCATTTTTAAGAGAGTAATTTAAAAAGTTAGATCTGTTCCAGGGATACGCCGGTTTTTTAAAATTTAATCGTTTAAAATTGAATGATAACTAAAATTTATTTTAAGGAGCTGCTCTGTTGTATGCCAAGCGTGGCCAGTGCTTCCTGAAGGTCAACAAACCAAACGCCTGCATTCGTGATTGCTCTAGAGCCTTGCAAATCAACCCTGATAGCGCTGCCTCCTACAAGTTCAGAGGAAGGGCTCACAGGTTGGATCTACTATTTTATCTCAAACAATTAAATATTATCCTTCAATTTATAATCTCTTAGTTTTCTACAATTCTTTTAGAGCAAACCAAATAATAATCAAATTTTCCCAGATTACTTGGCCACTGGATTGAAGCTGCTCGCGATCTGCGGAATGCATGCAAGATTGACTTTGACGAGCAGACCGACGAGTGGCTGAGAGAGGTCACTCCCAATGTAAGTTTGCAAATTTTACTCTGCTCCCCCCAACCCGTCTTTTTATTAGCCTGATTACAATTATGGACTGGCGGTAGACTTTTTCAGTTAGTTTAGGGATTGAAAAATTTATTTATTATTTTTATTCAGTGGAAGACTTTATTGCAGGTTTTTAATTTAAATGACATTTACACCAGCGATTGTGATAGGATCTTCACATAATATAACAGAGTTTAGAAAAAAAGGAGTTACATTTAAAATTAAACAACGCGAAGAAACACTGTTTTAAACAGAGGCTACTTAGTAATAATACTGCATGAGCTGCTATGAACTGAAACTATAACAACAACAAATAATGACGCTGAAAGCTGACAATTTGGCATCACTTAACACTCGGCACTTTCTTTTTCACCCGCTCTTAGTCCATGGGCAGATAGCCCGCCGCAGACAGAAGTGCATCATCTCGGATCACTTCCCTGATACCATGAAGGTGAGGGGCTACGAGAGAACCTGCGCCGGGCGGGTTTTCTCCTAGCCCCTTGGACAATAATTACAAATTATTCACAATGTTATCAGTCTTCTGTCTGCGTAGCTATCAGCTCCTCCTTGTCTGATATACTGACCTTCAGGGCGATCACAGAGTTCAACTCTTCAGGTTGGTGGTTCCGGCCGTTCCTGCAATGGCCTTGATCAGCTGTTCCTCGACGTCTTTCTTATATTTGCCGACCAGCTCGGGAAGGTCGTACGCAATGGCCACGTCCAGCTTGTTGATCGGACAGCCTCGGAAGTAGGTGCAAGTGGCCGACAGCTTTTGGAATTCATAAAGGGGGTTCAGTTTGAAAAAGTCGAGGTACATCTCGGGGTCGGGCAAATCATATCGGGAAATGTTGGTCAGCGTGCTAAGACCCTCGTAGATGTGGTAGTTTTGCGGATGCTCAATGATGTCATCGCTGACTGTCTTCTTGTTTCCGAAAAGGGTCTTGTGGTTGTAGTAGGTGGTCAGGTAGCAGTCGACCATCTTTGCGTGATTACGCACGCGCACCTGAATTGAAATGTGATCATTTAATAATAACCAAATAATTAATTTTATTTAACTTACGGCAAATCTGCGTGCACTTGCAATTTTGTTCTCTACCCTCTTGTTGATGGCATCGCGGATGTCCCTCAAAAAGGCCTCCTCCTGTGCCCTGAGCAGTCTGGTGGGTGCGCCGGGTTCGTATGGCACAGCCCACAAGCTGGTCGAGTACATCACAGGGGGCTCGGAACTTGACATTAGTGGCGAAATATTCCAGATCAGGGTGCCCTGGACGCGCATCAGCTCCTCAGGTCGCACCTGATCAGCCTTGTTCAGGATAATTTTGGTCTAGAAAAATTATTGATTAGTTTAATTATTCCCAAACTATTTTTAAATTAAATTACCTGATATTCGCGGCCTTTGAGTTGATCGAGGATGGCTTCGGTCTCAGGTCCAACATCCAACTTTGAAGGGTCATAGACGAGGAAAATTACGTCAGCGCGATCGATGAACCATTGGCATGCGTCATTGAATGGGAATAGACGCTCCACTTGCTTTCTGATCTCCAGAATTCCAGGGATCTCGACTATGTTGACCTTTTTATTTATTTAGTTCATTTAATTTTAATTTCGTTTGGAATTTTTTTATAAATTTTATCTCTTTTACTTTTTCCAACAAACGGTTAGGCAATCTCAGTCCCCTTAGGCGGTCCAGGAGACCCTGACCAAACTTCTGCAGTCCTGAGAAAGTCCAGTCGGCGGCTAGCTGAGTGCCATCTAGCACTTCCTCTCGGTCACCGTGCATCAAAATATTGAAGTATGCAGGAGATGGCTCGGCTCCTACAATAAGTTAATGTAAAAATGTCTGATTTTTTTTTGAAATTTTATTTATACCTGTCCTAAGAGCAGTGTTGGTGTACTCGATATCCATGAGATAGTTGATAATGGTAGATTTTCCCCCACTCCATGGACCCATGAACAAAATCAGTGGCTTTGAGAAAATTTCAGGATCTAAAAATTGAGGATTTTAATATCAGGATTTTGGAAAATGTAAGGCAGCCAACCTCCGTAATGCCTGTTGCTGAGATCGCGATATTTGTACAAAATTTCCAAAGGCTTGATGGAGCCATCGTAGAGACGTTTAAGCTCGCGCAGAGTCGAGTCGATTGTCTTTGATAGCAGAAGTTCCTGTTCCACTGATTCTGAGTCCAACTTCAAAATTTTGTTGATATGGTCTTTGGGACGTAGATTGGTTGGAATGATAATGTCCTTAAAAAAATATTCATTATTACACCATGCTAAATTTTCGCATTCTTTTGGCTTACTGGATTGATATCTTCTTGCTCCTTTTCAACTTCAGTTGCATTTACTGCGTCTGTATTAAAAAAATAATTAATAAATGTACCCTTTTTTTTGTAACTTTTTAACCTTTTTCTGCCTCGATCTGGTCCTCTTCGCTCTCTTCTTCGGCTACCTCATCGTCAGCAGCAGAGGGCACGAACCCAGTCTCTCGCCTTTTCCTTGAAATAACACCCTCTTCATCAATGGACTCATCCTGTGCTTCTTCCGCAGCCTCTTCAGCAGAAACCTCTACTTCTTCCTCGCCTGCCTCTTTCGATTCTTCATTATCATCTTGTTCCTCAATTTCAGCTTCTGCAGACTCCGCTTCTTGATCGCCTGCCTCCTCGTCTTCGGTGACCTCTTCAGCTGATTCTACTGCGGCAACTTCTTCGGCATTTTCAATAGAAGCATTGTCATCGGTTTCCTCTTCAGAAGCAGCTTCCTCGACTGAAGCAGCCTGCTCACCTTCAACAGTCTCTTCTCCTTCAGCAGATTCCTCACCAGTCTCTGCTTTGTCTTCTCCTTCCTCTTCCGATGCGTCGGCCGTTTCCTCAGCATCCGCAGCTACAACGTCTTCTACTTCTTGAGATACCTGTTCGACCTCCTCGTCCGATGCATTTTCAGTGCCCTCACCTTCCTCAACCGCCTCCTTGTCGCCATCATCTTCAGCAGAAGTAACATCATCTTCGATTTGCTCTTCTGAAGCTTCTTCTCCGTCGGTGGCCTCTTCACCTATCTCCTCTTCGGAAACTGCACCATCGTCCTTTACTTCATCTTCCTCGGATTCCTCAGCTCCCTCCTGTTCCTGTTCGCCTGATTCAGTTGCTTCAGTACCTTCCTCTGGCTGATCAGTTTCCTCAGATTCAGCTTCGTCCTCAGCAGCTAATAATAATTTTGAGCTGGTTTACTTTATAAGCTTTTAATATTTTACCCTCCGAATTATTCGTTTCATTTTCAGCTTCCTCGGTAGATTCTTCTACATCCTGCGTTTCTGATTCCTCTTCCACCTCCTCAGAACCTTGTTCTTCACCATTTTCATCAGCTTCAGATGAAACTGCCTCTGAAGGCTCTGGAATTTAAACATTATATTTGATTAAGAGAGCCGAGTGATATGTGAATTGAGAAAATTAACTAAAAAAAATTTAAAAAGGAACGACATGGTTTTAGGACGGGTTAATCATGCCAGCGCCGAACAAACAATGCAGGTCAATTTCTGGAGATTCAACCGGGTTCCAATTCGTCCAGTTACCTTCATCATTTTCCTCTTCAATATCATCATCTTCATTTTCAATTTTTTCTTCCGTCGTTATTCTACTTTCTTCATCATTATTTTCTTTTTCAGAACTATCCTTCTCATCAAGATCATCCCCTACATTTTGTTCTTGCGATAAGTCAATGTTTTCCTCATCGCCCTTTTCATCGTCGTCATCTTCATCATTATCCTCTGTAGTTTCATTCTCATTGTCTTCCTCCTCGTTAAACTCATCGTTTTCTTCTGCAGTCAAATTTTCATCTTCTTTGTCCTCATTTGAACTTTTTATGAGATCCTCCTCGCCATCATCATCTTTTTCATCATCATCCTCTTCTGTCAGATTTGCGTCTTCGTCTTCCTCCGCTGTCAGATTTTTGCTATCATCTTCTTCGTCAGCATTATTGATATCACCCGCATAATTTTCAGAGACATTGTTTGTAGCATTTTCGGCCGACAAATCATCATCATCTTGCTTTGCATCATCGTCATCAATATCTTCTGCAGTCTTATTGTCTTCCTCCTCCTCTCCATCGTTGTTGTCATTTTCAGAACTTATGTTATCGTCTTGGTTTTCCGCAGTTACATTGTCTTCTTCATCATCTGCTTCGTCATTTTCAGTGGTTAAATTTTCCTCTTGGTTTTCTGCTGATATTTTTTCGTCATCATCGTCGTCCGTGTCTCCTTCCTCATCTTCATCATCGGCATTGTCATTTTCAGTAGCTTCAATTTCTTTGCCGTTTTCCGCCGTTAAATTTTCGTCGTCATTTTCAGTGGTTAAATTTTCGTCTTTGTTTTCTGCTGATGCGTTTTCGTCATCATCGTCGTCCTCGTCTCCTTCTTCTCCTTCATCATCGGCATCATACTCAGTTGAAATATTGTCATCAACTTCTTCAGTACTTTCAGTTTCTGCATCAACGTCTTGGTCGTCATTTTCAGTAGTTAAATTTTCATCTTGGTTTTCCGCTGATGCGTTTTCGTCATCATCGTCGTCCTCATCTTCATCATCGGCATCATCCTCAGCTGAAATATTGTCATCAACTTCTTCAGTAGTCTCATTTTCTGCATCAACGTCTTGGTCGTCATTTTCAGTAGTTAAATTTTCATCTTGGTTTTCCGCTGATGCGTTTTCGTCATCATCGTCGTCCTCGTCTCCTTCCTCATCTTCATCATCGGCATCATCCTCAGCTGAAATATTGCCATCAACTTCTTCAGCAGTCTCATTTTCTGCATCAACGTCTTGGTCGTCATTTTCAGTAGTTAAATTTTCGTCTTGGTTTTCCGCTGATGCGTTTTCGTCATCATCGTCGTCCTCGTCTCCTTCCTCATCTTCATCATCGGCATCATCCTCAGCTGAAATAATGTCATCAACTTCTTCAGTAGTCTCATTTTCTGCATCAACGTCTTGCTCGTCGTTTTCAGTAGTTAAATTTTCGTCTTGGTTTTCCGCTGATGCGTTTTCGTCACCATCGTCGTCCTCATCTTCATCATCGGCATCATCCTCAGCTGAAATATTGTCATCAACTTCTTCATTAGTTTCACTTTCTGCATCAACATCTTGCTCGTCATTTTCGGCATCGTCCTCGTCATCATTATCTTCCGTGGCGGATAAATTTTGATCATCTTCATCATCATTTTCCGTCGTCAAATTTTCATCTTCCTCATCCGCCTCTGCTGATTTTTCATCGTCTTCCTCAGCAGTGATATTTTCTTTAATTTTAGCCGACAAGTCATCGTCGGCATCTTCCTCATTCTCATCATCCTCATCTTCTTGCGTCGCATTTTCATCGCCTTCCTCGCCTTCTTCATCATCTTAAATATTTATTACGAAATTAAGTATGTTAATTTGGACGTACCTCATGGCCAATTTTCAGGATTATCATTAGTCATTTTCTATATCTAATAATTGAACTAAGAAATTATTTTTCTAATTGGCAAATAAAGCACTTGAACATTTCTTACCATCTGCCTGGTCTTCTCCGGAAACTGCATTCTCTGGCTCGTCAGCTTCTTCTTCGCTTTCAGTTGTTTCTCCTATAGCCTAGTTTTCAATGTAATGTTAAAAATATTTTTTTCAAAGAACCGACTGGATGAAAAGCAAAATTTAGCGTTAAGAATTTAGTACCTCTTCTTGTGTTATCGTTTCAGCATCATCAGCCTCTCCGCTGTCCGCATCTGATGCAAATTAGTTTTAATCAATATTAGATTTGTTTGTTTATTTATTAATTTATTTACCTTCTGTTGTCGTTTGGGGGCTGGTCGGAATCGCCTGTTTTAAAGCTGCCTCTATGTGTACCCTACATTCCGTTACAGATGGCTCTTGAATGTTCTGTGGAACGTCAGCTGAAACACCTGAAATAACCAAAGATTTATTTTTACTATTTTTCCTATATATGAGAGAAAAATTTAATTGGGAATTATATTTTAATTATGTGCCCCCTTGAAGTTATGAAATATTATTAGATAATTTAGTGAGTCGCGAGAGTGATTAAGACGGGCGACACAAATAGCACATAATCGGTCCATTCTATTTTCGATTTTGGCACAAAAACAATGCGCGGCATCAACGCGGTCACTGCAGCCTTTATTTCTAGGAAGGCATGCGTGATTTTAATTTTCAAATCATTTAAATTTGCGCAAATTAATTCGTCATAAATGTAGAAATATAGTAATTGCAATAAGTTTTCATTTTTTTGTGAGAATTTTTGTCCGTCAAGGAGATTTGAAGGTTGAATTTTTTAGATTTCGTGTAAACACGATTTGGAGGATAATGGAAGTTTATTTTACAATGGGGGCGGTTGGGCGGCCCAGATATGAAATTATGTTCGGCACTGACGTTGTATTGGTGCTGGCGCGTGTTATTTAAGGACCGGTGAGCCGGGCAGAGAGCATCAGCAGCCTAAAGTGCTTCTATATTAACTCGGCGAGGGCATTTCGCTCGCTCATGCACAAGGCTGGCGAGAAAAAAGTTCCACTCGGTCTTTTCGAGACCTAATTGTTCAGCGCAAGAACATTAATAAGACAAAGAGATTCGGAGGCATCAACCCTTCTACACAACACACCGTTGCGTGAGCCTCGTCCTCTGTAAAAATAGAAGTGAAAAAAATCAAGTGCCCTCCGCGAAGCAGGCATTCGCGTAAAAATAAAAGTGACAACCACGGCACCTGCCCGCTGGCACTGTTTTGACTAAAATTTTCACCGTCCGAACGGAAATTAAATATAAATAAACATCAATTTATTTCAAAGCCAGGTCGTTAATCTCGCGTGAGATATTAACCTTTCCGACGTCGAAGGTGCGAACGAGAGTGAGAGATTTCTCTGCGATTAGCCTCGGCGGCAGCGAAATCAAAAGAATTCGGCTTGGCAGCTCGGCCAAAACTGAACTCGATCTTGGCTTGTGCAAAGAGGACTCGCAAGTCTGACGTAATTGTCCAGTAAAAGTGCCCAAAAATAACCAGCACCGGCGGACACGAATTATCTCCCTGCCGATTTCAACAGCCCGTCAAATTAATCAAAATAAGCACTTGAGAGCAATTCGGTCGCACCCCTTCCCGGTCAGCCTCCCCTCCGTCGCTACCGACCCCTGACCTTTGACCCCTGCCTGTGAACTAACCTGTGGCGAGGGCAAGCAGAAGGCAGCAGCAGGTCGCTGCGACGAGCAGTAAGGGTCGATGGAAAACTGCTCTGCCCCCGGCCATGCTTGATCTCGAAGGCTGGCTCAGCGCGAGTGAGTCTTCGTCAGCCGTTTAGTGCAGACTTGTGCTCCTTTGCGGTGACGTGCGCACCCCTCTGCTCCCGACCTTGCTTTCTCAAACAAATTGGAGAACCCGTTTCGCCAAGACACACATAAAATTGAAATTATGGCTCACGCTTCCGCTATTTCCAACGCCCAACTCTAAAAATAGTTAGTAATTTTCTAAAAATATTTTCCCAGATAATACTCATAATTGTTTAAAAAAAAAAATACTTTCAAATTTGATATTTATTTGGAATGTTAAGGATGGTCAATTTAACTTGGAATTTTCTCGACGGGCTAAATCCATTTATTAAAGCAGACGCCCCTTGTCTACCGGTCGGCAAGCGTGCAGGCCGAGTCGGTCGATTCAACACCACAGGTGGGTTTGATTTGATCACGTCGCACGGGCAGTCGGCCAAGGAGTGTGTCGTTCGCGGCCGTAATCATTCGTAGCGTGTCCCGGCTGATCTTTATTTAGCCTGCTCCCATATTTGGCACACCCTCTGCTGGACAGCCAACTTGAGCGAAAGAGCGCGCCGCCAGTCCATTTGCCACTTTTACGGCCCATTAATGTCCAAATTATCAACGTAGGTGGCTCGTTAGACCACATTGTGTCCACGATTTATTTGACTGATGAAGTGCATTTGTGTTGCAGGCCCGCAAGTTGGAGGCGCACAAGCTCAAGTACGAACGCCTCTACCGCGAACGAGAGCTTAAGGAGCGCTTGGAGAGGGCCAAGAAGGCCAGAGAGGAGCATTCGAAGGCGGCGCGTGAGCAGGAGGAAAGGGAATCCTTCGGGGATGACGCCGGCGACGAGCAAGGAATGGGCGATTTCTTCAGTCTCATGAACGACCCTGAGCTCAGGGCTGCCCTGCAGGTACGTTACCCTGATTTTTTTTAAAGAATTTTTAAAGTAAAAATGTAATGAACTAAAGAAGAAGAAAATAAGAATCATAATATTTATAATTTATTTTTATCGTTTCCAAAGTTTGTTGGTTCAATTTAAATTTAAAAACTTATTTTCAATGTAAAATCAGGTTAAACGTAATTTAATTATACTTAAGATATGTTAATTGTATTTATTTCATTTTTTATTAATTTCAAGCATAAAAATAAACAAAAATTATTGTAATATAAATTAATTTAATTTAATATTTAGGTATATATATATTTTTTGGAAGTTATTTCCCTTAAATTTAAATGAATTAGAAGCAAACAATTAATTTTTTCACATCATTACAGGACCCTGAAGTGGCTCAAGCCTTTGCAGACATTTCTACCAACCCTGCCAACATCATGAAGTACCAAAACAACCCCAAGGTGCAGAGCCTGATCAAAAAGATGGCTGAAAAGTTTGGAGGCAGTGGCATGGGAGGAATGGGCGGCATGCCAGGAATGGGAGGCATGGGTGGAATGGGCGGGATGGGAGGCATGCCCGGCATGGGCGGATTCCCATTTGGGGGCGGCTTTGGCGGCGGTGCACCCCCCAGCGGAGGCGCTCCCCCATCTGCTGACAACGCAGATGACGTCGGACTCGACTAAAACTGCATCCGAAGCTGGTGAAGTGGTGAGTACAGATTTCCACTTAACTTCCTCTGCTGTCTCTGTGATTGACGTACTTATCGATGCTCGCAATCTTGTTGTTCTCAGGTCGGTGAAATTTTAAATACCCCTGCCGTGTTTAATCTCGCCTAGTTACCCAGCGGAAGCAAAGACTGAATTAAATAATGTTTTCACAGTGTAGCAAAACCCTCGCTTGGAACACATCACTAAAGTGCGTAATTTCACAAGCCGACTGCCATGGAAATCTAATAATATCAAATGGGCATTGTTGATTGTATAACACTTCATTTTTACATACAAAGTTAGTGCTTACTGTAGGGGTTTTAAATGCTATTCAAGACTATTTGATTATACTTAATCAAATAAAATATTTCATTGCGAGTTGAAACAATAAAAATTATTGCTGATTTATTAAGTAAAAACCTACTAAACTTCTATCTCAATCTTCTATTTCATCATAATTTAATTAAAATTGGCATAAGTGCTGTGACTTTTCATGTAGCTCATGCTGACATCAAAGAGGTACTTAAAATTCTCCTGAAATTCATAACAAAATTAACTAAAAAACTATCAACTTTGGTCTATTGAATGTTACGGTATTTTTCAAATCAACGTTGATGTTTTGCTGGTGCAATTTTCGAATGGCCCATTCCACATCCACGAGTTGCTCCATCCGAATTTTCTCCACCAAGTAACCAATGGCCAAGTAAAAACCACAGAATTTTGATCCGTCCCTTATAAACAATTCAAAGGATTTCAAAGATTTCGGAAATGATAATTAAATACTTGCAAATGAGGAGAGTCTGCCAAGGACCTTTGCGTTGTTTCTCGCTGTTTTCCCAGAAGCTGATTAGGTCAGAAGGCAAGGGAAGTGCGTGAACATCTTTCCATCCTTTCAGAATTACCATATTGATGTATTTTGTTGGCATGGCGTATTTTGCCTGGTTTTAATTTTTATTTGGTGCAAGTGGAATTGAAATTAAATATTTACCACAGAGGAATCACTTATTTTAACACATAGATATTTCATTTGTTGAGTCTCATCTTGAGAGTGAAGTTGAAATTCAACATTAGCAAACTCAATGGGATGGTTTTTAGTTGGAAGAAATTTGTCCTATAAACCAAATTGTGGATTTCAGAAAAAAAATTGTATAGCCTTGGTTGAATTTTGCCTGGTCCACAATTTCTTCGTTCAAAATGACGATTTGCTGAATTTTGTGCTGAAGCACGAAGCCCCACAGATACATTGGCTTCGGTTTGGGAATCACAATGAACTGGTTTTCTCTTGTAAAACTGTCCACGTGAGTCACGCCATCAACACGCTCCTTTGTCTCCCCTTTAAAATTTTATTGATTAAAACGGCAAGCAAATTGAGAAATTAAATTACCACACAAGTACTTGCGCAGGGCCAAGTCGTTTTTGAGCTGCGTCAATAATCCTTCAAATTCCTCCTGAACAGACTCTTCCTCCTCCGATAAAAATTTTTCACTTAAACAATAAAGTAAATTTTTTGTATTTTTAAATACCTGAAGAGATTTATAGTAATCTGCAAAATCTGCGCATGGAACTGCATTGTTGGCAGTAAAATATTCCAAAAGAACCAAGTTTGCAAAAATGTATAGTTTCTGGAAAGATAGCTCGGAAGTAAATTATCTGATCTTACAAATTTTAACTTTGGTAATTATTACATGTGACCACATAAGGTAAAAGTTCTGCTTCAACATGATTGACAAAACGTATTCTGGATCAAAAGACTGATTCTTGTCCATCATATCCAGGCAAATGTGGACAAAGAGCAAAATTCCAACTCTGCTGATTTTTGTACTGAAATTTTACCAAAGAAGATTTAAATTAAGTATTAATTTAAATACAACATTATCTCCACCTGCACATGAGTAAAATGGGCCCTTTGTTGTGCCAATCAATGTCAATTTTTTGTATGAATTCAGCCACAGCCTGGTGGTTGAGCGGCAAATCCCAATCAGACCATGACTTGAATTGAAGGTGGCGAATCTAGAGAAAGGTTACTTATTATTTAAATATAAAACACAAGATTCTAGAACTTGCCAATCGCGTTTGCCCGCCACTGCAAATTTTAATGATTTTAAGCGAGTAATTGCAAAATTCTTGGCTTTCCACGCAAACCAGTTCGATATCATCATAAACCACTTCTTCATTCAGAGTTTTTGGCCAATATGGTTCTACGTCGTTCTAAAATAACAATAATTTGATTATATAAAACTTTGGTTAAATTGTTTTATGATTTTATATTTTAAGATGAATAAGGATGACTCAAAATAAAAGAAACCAATTTAGCTTACGACTATTAAAATTGATTGAATATTCTCCTGGTCCACTAGTCTCCAAAAATTCTGCACATTTTCTTGGGAAGGGCTCTTTACAATTACGTACCTATTTTTGCCCGAGAAGCCCTGAAATTTTTTGGGAAATTACTATTAATCTCAGTTCTGCAGTTTCTAAATATACATCGTAAAAGTAAGCGTCAGTTTGAATCGCCTTATTCGCTTGCAATTTAACCATAGTTGATAGTGGGGCAAGGTAATCCGAGTCTTGAATCCCAACTTCTTCTTTAACTTCCTATTGAAATTTGAAATAAATAAATGAAACAAATAAATATGTCAAATCTTACTAACATGGAAAAGCTTTTCAAAATAGTCAAATTTAAGACAATTCTCAACATGGCTTCTGAATTTAAGAGGATCCATATGTTTGCGTATTAGTGGTGTTAGTTCGTCGTAGATATTTTCTGTGTCTTCGTTTGCCATTTCTTCACCATCTTCCGGCCTTACTAAATTTTGTGTGCTCGCAGTCCTAAGGTGCTGCGCTTTTTTTATTTTCTTATCATACTGAACTGATATAATGACAAGTAATATTATTTTGATGTTAAAAAAAAATGTGTCAATTGACCTGTTGCGTAGGGCCCAGAAATTAACCTTTCTTGTTCTCTCCTTTTTCGTATCCAACTCAGCAATGTTGAAACCAAAAGTACGACTGACGCGGCGACCGTGAAAAAAGAAATCAGTACACTTTTAGAAATTGATGAATCGTCTTGTTTAAATCTATTTGAAAAGAAAGTCTTGTTGTCAAATAAATAATGCAGAACAGGATAATTAGGTCCAGTGAAAATTTCTTCCTCGTTCTTTTCTGTGATCACTGCTCGGAAAGAACAAGTTTTGTTGAATTCGATTTGCTCGGGAAGCTCGTATGTTGCCTTCAAATCAAAAGGAGTCACAATTTTTCGCATGCTTTGAAACTTGTCCTGCCCTTCAACCTGTCCAATTAAAGGTTTTGAAAGTGGTTAGTAAAAATTTATTCAAATTAACCTGAAACTGGATATCGATGGATTCAATCTTCTCAATTTCCTGTTGTGTGAGGTTCTCTAAAGCATTTTTTAAGGATATCTTCGTATCAAAGAGGTCCGGCTTTACTCGAAATTGAAGAAATTCTATGCAAGAAATAGTTTAATTTTGGAACATTGATTAGCATAACTTTTCAGAATATGTAAAAATAATTAATTTGGTTTACTTATTTAGAGTTTTGTTGTCTACTAAATTTTTGGTAATCTTTTTTTCTTACTTTCAAAACAATTTGGTCTTCGGTATCCCAAGACACATTCTCCTTTGCAGCTTCTTTTAACATGGTCACATTCCTCTCTTCGTTTGCAAAATCCGCACATATAGCTGCAGCCATAAGTGCCCAAAGTCTGACAAACTGAAATTTTTGACAAATTAATTAAAAATGAAATAAAATTTTTATTTTGTTTAATATTGACCTTCCTCACAAGTTGGTCCGGTGTAAGGTCGTAAGCAGGAGCACCCATTGGGGTCACACAAAATAAGACCTTTGCATGTGTCATGTTCGTCTGATGCGTTGCAGCGATCTATTCGCAGGTCAAATCCTTCAAAGGGCTTGAAAAGTTTGGGAGCGACGGATTGTAAGACTTCATTAGTGTTGTACCAAGTGCCGACTATGCGCTCATTGACCCTCTGCGAATTGGTGGTAGTTGAGCAGGTTAGAGTCGAGTCACTTTCGGTCTTCTTCACAAGGCGATAATACATTTGCACCTCTAATTATTATAATGAAAAAATTAGAAGATTGGATTTTTTAAATAATTTTCCTTACGTCCATTTTCAGGCAAGCACGCTCTTTTTAAAGTGTAAAGGAAAAACCCGTCGCCTTCTTTGCGATTCCCTTCACTCGATTGATCTCCACTTAATTGATCAGTATTGCCAGCCAAAATGAATTTGTTCCTCCACTTGCCTTCAGAGCTCTGAAAACAGAAACTAAAATTATTATTCAAAATTATTTTGCCTGAATGATCTGACCTGTCGAATGAAATTTGTAATATTGCCATCAGTGAATTTATAACTGCTGAAATTGTCGGTGGCAAATTCAGCAACCCAGCAATTCTGTCCTGGATATTTTTCCTTTGCATTTAATATGTCGTTTGTTCCATTATAAAGATATTGAGTGCCTGAATTAATTTACAAGGATAATCAAATTACTAATTATGCAGCTCACTCTACGCATCACTTGCTCATGCAACGTCAAATCAATAAATCATACAAAAATATTTAATAGTTTATCTTCTTACCATACAAATTATGATATTTTAATCGGGCATTTTTATCCTCGCTCTGAAACTTAATTGTCCATTTTTCTTGTATTTCTGACCCAGGTGGAAGTTTTATTTCGATGTGATTCCATCGATCTTTAAAGAATTTCTATGCAATTTTAAACGTCAGACTGGCAGACAAAACCAAATGCCACATTTATACCTGAGTTTTTAACACTGATACTTCACCATCCTTATGCGAGGTGACTTCGATTGTCTTCTTCTTGTCCGCAAGTGTCAATTCTAGGTGGTAATTCTTTGAAAGGAATCTCAAGGTGCTTTTCTCTTTTGCCAATAGAGAAATTCGTAGAGTGGAAATTTCTCTTATTAACGGTCCCTCTAAATAATCATTTTCATAATTGGGAAGTTCTGTGAAAATGTTGCTGCTTTTAATTTTTTAGTTAAAAAAGAGTTTAATCTAAGTACCTTCCCAACGGTGATCCAAGATGAAGCCAAAGTCTGGGTAATTTGTTATGGCCTTCTTTGGATCTGGATCCATGTACTCGTAATTTGTAGTCGGGTAATCTTTGTAGTCATTGGGGAAGTATCCAACCTCCCAATTTTCGCTAGTGAGTGCTGGAAAGTATAGGAATATGAAAATAAATCTTAACTTACAGACTTTCGGCTAACAATTTTGGAACCAAAGAGAGACAAAAAAAATTAACTCTGTCTTCATACATGAAAAATGAACTCTGCTACCTTTTGTCTCTCCATTCTTTTCCGAAGTCCAGTAAATTCCCTCAAAAAGTTCGCTCTCCGTCCCATTTTCTATTGAGAAGCAGAAATATTTATCCAAATTATTCCGCTTCACAAAAAACAAAGTCGATTCCACAGAATTCGCCAAGCACAGAAAGATGCAGCAAAAAGCAGCGGCGTGAGCCATCATGTTTGTTAACTAAGCTTCTAATAAACAGGTTTTTTCCCACGAAGGTCGCGTCTCAGCCTGTTGTGGGGAGGGAAATCAAGTGGGGTTTTTTTTACTTATCAATAGCGGATACTCTGAAGGAATTATCATCTACTATCATTAATTAAATTGCATGCAGCTAGGGGCGTATTTATTCTTGAGGCTTTCGCACGAGATTGGATGATGCGTGAGAAAATGTAAATTTAATGTTTTATCACAAAATCTTGATTGAAAACATTTTGGAACAACTTAAATCTGTGAATGTCATGCTTGCATTCCGCAAGCCTTCCGTTTCCCCCCACACAGGCCACACAGCCAAGTATTAATTTAAAAAAAAATTTTTGTTCGTCTCCCGCCTCTCTTAATTTAAATTAAATAATAATCATATTTTACTATTGAAATATAAATTCATAAATTCTACCCACAATGATATGGAGCATTAAATTTTTCAGGGTAACTTAAATTTTTAGTTTCAATTTTAAGTACAAATAAAGAAAACGACAAATCTCCTTTGGAAGAAATTTTTAATCAAATCCAGAGAATTAATTCTAGGATAAATAGAAATTTCCACTGTAAAATACATGGATTTTGCGACTAAAATTAAAAACAAGAACGATAAAACAGAAAAGTCTATTTAAAATTTGCATAATTGCTGTGGCACATCAAGTAATATAAGGCGGCATCAAGTAGGTATCTATAATTTTTCTGCAATTAAAGGAAAATATTTTAAATAAAAAATAAATTATGAAAATGAAATTATAACCTTTTGCAAATAAAAGTTAATATTTTGCTGGTGCAATTTTCGAATGGCCCATTCCACGTCCACGAGTTGCTCCATCCGAATTTTCTCCACCAAATAGCCAATCGCCAAGTAAAAACCACAAAAAGTTGCTCCATCCCTTATTATTTGGTTATGTAATATTTTAATATATTTAAAAAAAAATCAATACTTGCAAATGAGGAGAGTCTGCCAAGGACCTTTGCGTTGTTTCTCGCTGTTTTCCCAAAAGCTGATTAGGTCAGAAGGCAAGGGAAGTGCGTGAACATCTTTCCATCCTTTCAGAATTACCATATTGATGTATTTTGTTGGCATGGCGTATTTTGCCTGGTTTTAATTTTTATTTAGTGCACATGGGATTGAAATTAAATATTTACCACAGAGGAATCACTAATTTTTACACATAGATATTTCATATGGTCAGAATCGTCCTCGGAGAGTAAATGGAAATCAACGTTTGCAAATTCTATGGGATTGTTTTTTGTCGGTAGAAAATTATCCTACAAAGTAATTGTAAATATTTGAAAATTTCAATAAATCGTTATTATGCCTGGTCCACAATTTCTTCGTTCAAAATGACGATTTGCTGAATTTTGTGCTGAAGGACGAAGCCCCACAGGTACATTGGCTTTGGTTTGGGAATCACAATGAACTGGTTTTCTCTTGTAAAACTGTCCACGTGAGTCACGCCATCACCACGCTCTTTTGTCTCCCCTGTAAAATTTTATTGATTTAAATGGCAAGCAAATTTCAAAATTTAATTACCACACAAGTACTTTCGCAGGGCCAAGTCGTTTTTGAGCTGCGTCAATAATCCATCAAATTCCTCTTGGACAGACTCTTCCCCCTTGAATAAAAAATTTCTCTTCAGATATCAATTTAATATTTTTAATTAATAAATACCTTAAGAGATTTATAGTAATCTGCAAAATCTGCACATGGAACTGCATTGTTGGCAGTAAAATATTCCAAAAGAACCAAGTTTGCAAAAGTGTATAGTTTCTAGAAGGTTTTAAATTATCGGATCTCATAATCAACTTTGTTAATTATGTTAATTATTACATGTGACCACATAAGGTAAAAGTTCTGCTTCAACATGATCGACAAAACATATTCTGGATCAAAAGACTGATTCTTGTCCATCATTTCCAGGCAAATGTGGACGAAGAGCAAAATTCCGACCCTGCTGATTTTTGAACTGAAATTTTACAAAAGAAACTTGAAATAAAATAATTTAAATAAATCATAATTTCCACCTGCACATGAGTAGAATGGGCCCTTTATTGTGACAATCAATGTCAATTTTTTGTATGAATTCAGCCACAGCCTGGTGATTGAGCGGCAAATCCCAATCAGACCATGACTTGAATTGAAGGTGCCGAATCTAGATGAAGTTCAGTTTTTTTTTTAAAATATAAAACAGGAATTAAGAACTTGCCAATCGCGTTTGCCCGCCACTGCAAATTTTTATAATTCTTAGCACGTAGTTGCAAAATTCTAGGCTTTCTATGCAAACCAATACAATATCATCATAAACCACTTCTTCATTCAGAGTTTTTGGCCAATATGGTTCGACGTCGTTCTAAAATAATAATAATTTGATAACAATTTAACAAAATTTTATTTGATTTCATATATTCTAATATGTTTTATGGTCAATTAAGATGACTTCAATAAAATAAACCAATTTAGCTTACGACTATTAAAATTGATTGAATGTTCTCCTGGTCCACTAGTCTCCAAAAGTTCTGCACATTCTCTTGGGAAGGGCTCTTCGCAATTAAGTACCTATTTTTGCCCGAGAAACCCTAGAATTATTTTGTCAATACAAATAACTCTAACTCAGCCTTTATGAAATACTTCATAAGAGAATGCATCAGTTTGAAACTGCTCATTTTCTCTTAATGTAATCATGGTTGATAGAGGGACAAGATAATCTGAGTCGCGAATCCTCACTTCTTCTTTTACCTCCTGTCGTGATGTTGAGAATAAAAGATTTCACTTTAAAATTAAATAATTTAAATTTTAAATTTTCCAACCTGGAAATTCTTTTCAAATTGATCAAACTTAAGACAACTCGAAACGTAATCTCTGAATTTATGGGCATCCATAAGTTTGTGTGCTACAGGCGTCAGCTCGTCGTAGACGTTTTCATCAAGTTTGGTCGCTATTTCTTCATAATCTTCCGACTTTATTGTATTTATCGAGTTCTCTATCCTGCGTTGTTCTGTATTTCTTACAGGATTATCATATTGAACTAAAAGAAAATTGAAATTAATATAATTCTAAATCATTGATTTAATAAACCTGTTGCATAAGGTCTAGAATTTATCCTTTCTTGTGCTCTCCTTTTTCGTATCCAACTAAGCAACGATGAAACTATGATAACAACTGATGCGACTACCGTAATTGCTGAAATCAGACCACGTCTAGTACTGATGGGTTCCTTTTTTGTGTACTTATGAGTATGAAAAGTCTCGTTGTCAAAATAATATCGCAGAACTGGATAATTTGGTCCTATGAACATTTCATTCTCTCCCTTCTCTTTGATTACAGCTCGGAAAGAATAAGTTTTGTTGAATTGGATTTGCTCAGGAAGCTCGTATGTTGCCTCCATATCTAGATAAGTTATATTTAGCAAACTCTCAAACCGGTCTTGTCCTTCAACCTGCACTTTTAAAGTATTAAATGATAATAATTGGTTTGGAGAAGAAGAAAAACACTCCCTAACAAGAGTCCAAACTAACCTGAAACTGGATATCAATATATTCAATCCTCATGATATCCTTTTTTGAGAGGTTTTCCAATGCATTCCTTACGGAAATCTTCATTTCAAAGATATCCGGCTTAACGCGAAATTGAAGAAATTCTAAATATTTTTAATCATTTATAGTTTTTTTATTTGAATTTATTTGCAAATAATATTTGATATAAATATTTTGTATTTTATATCACAATGATTTGTAGTTATATTTGTAAGTAATTTTTGCTCTTACTTTCAATGCAATTTGGTTTTCGGTATCCCAAGACACATTCTCCTTTGCAGTTCCTTGTAACATGGTCACATTCCTCTCTTCGTTCACAAAATCCGCAACTGTATCCGCAGCCATAAGTGCCCAAACTTTGACACTCTGAAATTGTTGACAAGCTCATTTAAACAAATTAAATTTTAATGGTGTTAAATTTTCACCTTCCTCACAAGATGGTCCAGTGTAAGGTCGCAAGCAGGAGCATCCATTTGGGTCACACAAAACAAGACCTTTGCATTTGTCATGTTCGTCTGACACGTTGCATTGATCTATTTGCAGATCGAATTCTGCAAAGGGTTGGAGAAGTTTGGGAGCGACAGATTGTAAAACTTCATTTGTGTTGTACAAAGTGCCAACTTTTAGTTCGTTGACCCTTTGGGAATTGGTGGTTGTTGAGCAGGTCAGAGTCGAGTCACTTTCTGTCTTTACTGCACGACGGTAATACATTTGCAATTCTATTCATTGTAATAAAAATTATTGGAAGTATTTTTTTTTAAAATGCTTTGCCTTACGTCCATTTTCAGGCAAGCACAGTCTTTTTAAAGTATAAAGAAAAAATCCACCGTTTAATCTGCCTTCTTCACTTAATTGATGAGTGTTCTCGGCCATAATGAATTTGTTTCGCCAGTTGCCCTCAGAGTTCTGCAACAATAAAATATTATTTTTATTCAAATTTATTTTACTTGGATGTTCTGACCGATTGGATAAAATTTGTAATATTCCCATCAGTAAATGTGTAACTGTTGAAATTGTCAGTGGCAAATTCAGCAACCCAGCAATTCTGTCCAGGATATTTTTCCTTAGCATTCAGTGTGTTGTATGTTCCATTGTAAAGAAGCATTGGTCCTGTTTTTGTTTAAAATTATAAAATAATTAACTTCACAATTTTCTTACCGTAAAAATGATATTTTATTCGGGCATTTTTATCCTGACTCTGAAACTTCACCGTCCAATTTTCTTGTATTTCTGACCCAGGTGGAAGTTTTATTTCGATGTGATTCCACCGATCAACAAAGAATTCCTAAAAAAACGCTAAACTGGCAGAAAAATTAAAAAGCCACATTTTTACCTGAGTCTTCAAAAGTGATGTTACATTATCCTTATTCATGGTTACTGTGATTGACTTCTTATAAGATGTGGGATTTAATTCCAAAAAGTAATTATTGCTATTCTTTGAAGGAAATGTTAAGGTGCTTTTATCTGTCGCCAATAGTGAAATTCTGAGGTTGGAGACTTTTTTAAAGGGTTTACCCAGTAGGTCATTTCCAAAATCCAGTTCTGGATTAATTATTTAATTAAATTCGATAATTCTATTAGAAAATATAAGAAATGCAAACCCTCCCAACGGTGGTCCAAGATGAAACCAAAGTCTGAGTAATTTGTTACAGTGACAGGTGGATTTATGTATTCATAGTTTGTAGTCGGGTAACCGCGGTACTCTATGGGGAAATATCCTCCGTCCTGAGGGTCGCTGGAGAGAGCTAGAAAGTAGATATTGCACAAAAAGTATTTATTTCACATGAGAAAAAAACTGCGTTATTTATTAAATTTAGGCTACCGGTTTTTTAACATAAGGAATAGGCAAATTTTATAAAGTACATAAAATACAAATATTTCAACCGTAGAAGCAGGTCACCATGTAAACTCTAAAATAAACCAAATATAATATTCATTTTGGACATTAAATTATCTATAGTACTTCATGCAACCTAATTTTAGAAATGAAGAGGTACCTTTGGTCTCTCCGTTCTTTTCGGAAGTCCAGTAAATTCCCTCGAAAAGTTCACTCTTCGTCCCATTTTCTATTGAAAAGCAGAAATATTCGTTCGATTTTAGCCTCTTCACAAAGAACAAAGTCGATTCCTCTGTCAAATTCAGCAAGCACAGACAGATGCAGAAAAAAGCGACCGCCTGCAATATCATTTTTCACTGACTAAAGCACATTAAAAAGGACTTAACTAAGGAAGCTGTTTGGCCTATCTAAAGCGGATATTCTCGATCAACAGAATTTTCCACAACTTTCCTCGACCAAGCAAGTTAAGAGATAGTGAGTGTGATAAATTTTAGTATCAATATTTGTTTTGAGACGGATATTGAATTCAAGGTATAATTTCCAATCGTCTCTTATTAAATGTTGCAATTTTCTTATTTCATTGTTTTAAAATAATTGGTGCATGCAGGAAAGGAAACTCACTTATTCGGTTTAAATCTGGAAAATGCCTTTATTGGAGTCTGATCGATTTCACAATAAGTTTTTTCCTTGTGTTTTAATTTCATTCTAATCTTACTAATGTATCTATCATTGAATTGAAATGACGGTTTCATCTGCCAATGATAAGATTAAAAAAACATTATTAATTGTAATTTAATTAAATTTATGAGCCTCGCTCTTTTCCATATTCAAAAAGAATATTGCAGAACAGGATAATTTGGTCCGATGAAAATTTCTTCCTCGTCCTTTTCTTTAATCACTGCTCGGAAAGAATAGGCGTTTTTCATTTGCTGAGGAAGCTCGTATGTTGCTTCCAAATCAAAAGGAGGTGTAATTTGTCGCATGCTTTGATACGCGGCTTGTCCTTCAGCCTGTTAAAATTAAGGTATTAAAAAATAAAATTAAAAAAAAAATTTCCACTCTAACCAGTAACTGGATATCGATGTATTCAATCTTCTGGCGTTCCTCATGTGAAAGATTTTTGATCGCATTCTTTAAAGAAATCTTCTTGTTGGTTATTTCCGGCTTTAGTCGAAATTGAATAAACTCTTAAAAGATTAATAAAATAAATTTGCATTAAATTCATTATTATTTTTAATTTTCATTTGTCATACTTTCAATGCAATTTGGTTTGCGGTATCCCAAGACACAATTTCCACTGCATTGACTGGTAACAGAGTCACATTCCTCTTTTCGTTCGCAAAAGCCGCACCTATGTCCGCAGCCATATGTGCCCAAATTTTCACACACTGAAATTTATCATTAATTAAAATTAATCAGAGTTAATGTAATAAATGCTGTTCATTGCTGACCTTCCTCACAAGATGGTCCGGTGTAAGGTCGCAAGCAGGAGCACCCATTAGGGTCACACAAAATGACCCCTTTGCATTTGTCGTGTTCGTCTGATGCGTTGCATCGATCTATTTGTAGATCAAATCCTTCAAAGGGTTGGAGAAGTTTGGGAGCGACAGATTGTAAAAATTTATTATTGTTGTAAAAAGTGCTGACTTTGCGCTCCTTGACCGTCTGGGAATTTGTGGTAGTCGAGCAGGTCAGAGTCGAGTCACTTTCGGTCTTTTTCACAAGGCGGTAATACATTTGCACCTCTATTTATTATAATGAAAAAATTAGAAGGTTGAATTGTTTAAATAATTTTCCTTACGTCCATTTTCAGGCAAGCACGCTCTTTTTAGAGTGTAAAGGAAAAACCCGTTGCCTTCTCCGCGATTTCCTTCGCTCGATTGATCTCCACTTAGTTGATCAGTATTGCCAGCCAAAATGAATTTGTTCCGCCACTTGGCCTCAGAATTCTAATAGACTGAAATTATTAATCAAAATTTTCATTTTACTTGAATTTTCTGACCGGTTGGATGAAATTTTTAATTTTGCCGTCAGTGAATGTGTAACTGTTGAAATTGTCAGTGGCAAATTCAGCAACCCAGCAATTTTGCCCTGGATATTTTTCTTTTGCATTCAATATGTCATTTTTTCCACTGTAGAGACGAAGAGTTCCTGAATTTAGAAAAATTAACTTTTGAATTATTTCACTGAAAGCGTTAAGTTTATTACCGTAATAGTGATATTTTATTCGGGCATTTTTATCCTCACTCTGAAACTTCACTGTCCATTTTTCTTGTATTTCTGACCCAGGCGGAAGTTTTATTTCGATGTGATTCCATCGATCTTCAAAGTATTCCTAGACATCGGAAGACGTTATAGACTGGCAGAGAAAACAATTCAGAAAACGTATTTCTATTTCTACCTCAGTTTTCAAATTTGTAGTTTCACCATCCTTATGCATGGATACTTTCATTGTCTTCTTATTAGCTTCGGGTGTTAATTCCAGGTAGTAGATTATGTTGCTCCTTAATAGGAATGTCAATTTGCATTTCTCTTTAGTTAATAGTGAAATTTTGAGGTTGGAAATTTGTTTAGACAGTGAATAAACACAGCCATTGTCATAATCTAGAAGTTCTGCGCAAAATTAAATTCTTTTAATGTTTAGTTCAAAAATATATATTTTTAATAACCTTCCCAACGGTGGTCCAAGATAAAGCCAAAGTCTGAGTAATTTGTTATGGCCTTCTCTCGATCTGGATTCATGTAATCGTAATTTGTAGTCGGGTAATCTTTGTAGTCATTGGGGAAGTATCCAACCTCCCAATTTTCGCTGGAGAGTGCTGGAAAGTTTAGGAATCTAAGTAAGTTTTAATTTACACAGCGTGCTATAAAAAAATCTGCGATTTAATGGAATTTTGACTAAAAAGAGAAAATAGAAAGGAAAATTGTGAATTAAAAATAAAAAATCTTCATTGGCAAACCAAATTTATTTTCGTTTCAATTGAAATGAATTTATGACGATCAATTCAAACCTTTGTCTAATTATAAAACATAAATAACTTGATTTGAAACTAAAACTTGATCTGTACCTTTGGTCTCCCCATTCTTTTCCGAAGTCCAGTAAATTCCCTCGAAAATTTCGCTCTCCGTCCCATTTTCTATTGAGAAGCAGAAATATTCATTCGAATTTGGCCTCTTCACAAAGAACAAAGTCGATCCCTCTGTCCAATTTGCTAAGCACAGAAAGACGCAACAAAGAGCAGCAGCGCGAGCTATCATTTTTCGCCAACTAAGCTTTAATTGGGTTTTTTCGTAGGATGCTGTTTTTGACTTATCAAAAGCGGATACTTCAGTTATTGATTAGCCCAGGGGCGTATATATTTTTGGGTTTACCCCAATAGATTGCAAGTGAAAAAAGTTTTATATTTTATTACTCTGGATTATTCAACGTGGGTTTTATATCCTGGGAGAAAATAAAAACAAGATGTATTGACATTACACTCCAAACAATTTATTTAACTTATATCAAGGTTTAAAAAAACATCATTGGCCAGTGCTGAAATTTTACACAATATATATGGTTTTTACTTATTAAGTGATGGAAAAATTATGGTTACTTTTTTATTCTAAAGTTAGTTGTTTATTTTATTATTGGCGCGTGTCATTTGCCCGAGTTTATCGTACAAAAAGTGGCTAAATATGACCAGTTGCATATTTTTGGACACGTCCGCAAATTTTATTAGAAATAATTATATCAATATATTATGTAAAAAATAAAATTAAAAATAATTGTTGTTGACAACAAAAGTTGGGGGTCCAGGGGCCTTTAACTTATTGAGCAGGTGCATGTTTGAGGAAGAACCACAAAAACCAGGAACCTGGAAACGGACCTTATAGATCTGAACCTAAAAGGCCCCTTCGATAGGAATGGGAATACGCATACTTACAATTATCTGAGAATGTTTTTTTATTACCTATGAAAAGTGGACACTGAAAGGAAATTCTCTTTTATCATTAATCATTAATATTCTAATCTGGTGAACTATTTATAAGATATTGATATATTTCCTAGTCTCTTATAAGAATTTCGGTAAATGAAATTTAAATTACTCGAAGGACAAAATGTAATAAATCAAAAAGTTTTAAACATCGATAATAACCAAAAGGCTATTTGAAATTGGCATAATTGCTGTGGCTTGTCAGGAAGAAAAAAGCGGCATCAAGCAAGTAACTATAATTTTCCTGCAAATGAAAGAAATAGTTTAAAGAAGGGAAAGAAAATTAAAATTACAACCTTTTTCAAGCTAAAGTTGATATTTTGCTGGTGCAATTTTCGAATGGCCCATTCCACGTCCACGAGTTGCTCCATCCGAATTTTCTCCACCAAGTAACCAATGGCCAAGTAAAAACCACAGAAAGTTGATCCGTCCCTTATTTGGCAAAAAAATTTAATTTTTTAGTTTTATGAAATAATATCAATACTTGCAAATGAGGAGAGTCTGCCAAGGACCTTTGCGTTGTTTCTCGCTGTTTTCCCAAAAGCCGATCAGGTCAGAAGGCAAGGGAAGTGCGTGAACATCTTTCCATCCTTTCAGAATTACCATATTGATGTATTTTGTAGGCATGGCGTATTTTGCCTGGTTTTAATTTTTATTCAGTGCACGTGGGATTAAAATTAAATATTTACCACAGAGGAATCACTAATTTTTACACATAGATATTTCATATGGTCAGAGTCGTCCTCAGAGAGTAAATGGATATCAACGTTTGCAAATTCTATGGGATTATTTTTTGTTGGCAGAAAATTATCCTATAAATAAGTAATTGTAAATATTGGAGAATATAAATAGCATTGCTGGAATTATGCCTGGTCCACAATTTCTTCGTTCAAAATGACGATTTGCTGAATTTTGTGCTGAAGGATGAAGCCCCAAAGATACATTGGCTTTGGCTTGGGAATCACAATGAACTGGTTTTCTCTTGTAAAACTGTCCACGTGAGTCAAGCTGTTGTCACGCTCTTTTGGCTCCCCTTTGAAATTTGATAGATATAATTGCACAAAAATTACATCGATGTATTTAAATACCACACAGGTACTTGCTCAGGGTCAAGTCATTTTCTAGCTGGTTCAATAATCCGTCAAATTCATCTTGAAGAGATCCTTCCGCCTTAAAAATTATGTCCCTCTTACAATTTAGTTCATAACGTTTAAAATGAAAATAAAAATACCTGAAGAGATTGGAAGTGTTCTGCAAAATCTGCACATGGCACTGCATTGTTCGCAGCAAAATATTCAAAGAGAACCAAATTTGCAAAAGTGTATAGCTTCTGTGAAACAAAAATAATTTAAAAAATAAACAAGGGAACTTAATAACTTTGATTTTACATGCGACTCCATAAGGTTGAAGTTCTGCTTCAGCATGATTGACAAAACGTATTCTGGATCAAAAGACTGATTCTTGTCCATCATATCCAGGCAAATGTGGACGAAGAGCAAAATTCCGACCCTGCTGATTTTCGAACTGAAATTTTACAAAAGAAACTTGAAATAAAATAATTAAAATAAATCATAATTTCCACCTGCACATGAGTAGAATGGGCCCTTTGTTGTGCCAATCAATGTCAATTTTTTGTATGAATTCAGCCACAGCCTGGTGGTTGAGCGGCAAATCCCAATCAGACCATGACTTGAATTGAAGGTGGCGAATCTAGACAAAGATTATTTTTTATTTGAAATATAACATAAGATTTAAGAACTTGCCACTCTTGTTTCCCCGCCACTGCAAATTTTTATAATTTTAAGCACGTAGTTGCAAAATTCTTGACTTTCCATGCAAACCAGTACAATATCATCATAAACCACTTCTTCATTCAGAGTTTTTGGCCAATACGGCTCGACGTCATTCTAAAATAATAATAATTTGAAAAATAATTTAACAATTTAGTAAACTTGTTTTATGATATTATATTTTGGTGAATAAAGATTAATTCAATAAAAATAAATAAAAGTGATTTTAATATAAATTGGATCAAGAAAAAGCCGATTTTTAATTCGAATAACTATGAATCAACCCTTATTTGATCGTTAAACTTACGAGTATTAAAATTGATTGAATGTTCTCCTGGTCAACTAGTCTCCAAAAGTTCTGCACACTCTCTTGAGAAGGGCTCTTCGAAATTATATATCTGTTTTTGCCCGAGAAGCCCTAAAAAATTTTTTAATTGACACTAATTTCAATTTTGCGTATATGAAATACGTCGTAAAAGTAGGCATCAGTTTGATACTGCTCATTCGCTCTTAATTTTATCATGGTCGGTAGGGGGACAAGATAATCCGAGTCACGAATCCTGATTTCTTCTTTTACTTCCTATTCATATAAAAAAATATTTTTAAGACATAATATATATTTTCAAAATTATAAAATAACCTGAAAAAGTTTTGCGAATTGGTCAAACTTAAGAGAACTCTTGACGTGACTTCTGAATTTTAGAGGGTCCATATGTTTGTGAATAAGTTGTGTTAGTTCAGCGTAGATACTATCCACATTTTCATTTGCCATTTCTTCAGCATCTTCCAGCAGTGCTATATTTTGCGAGCTTTCAATCCTTTGATTTTGCGCATTCATTATGGAATGCATGTATTGAACTGATATAAAATAAAATAAATGCAAATTAAAAATATTTTTAGCTCAATTAATGAACCTGGTCCAGAATCGATCCTTCTATGTTCTCTCCTTTTTCGGATCCAAATCACCAAAGATGCAACTAAAATCACGACTGACACGACGATTGCAACAAAGGATATCAGTGCAAATTTATTGTTTGACGAATCATCTTGATTAATTCTGTTTGAAAAGAATTTCTTGTTATTAAAAAAATGATGCAGGACAGGATAATCTGGTCCAATGTAAATTTCTTCCTCGTCCTTTTCTTTGATCACTGCTCGGAAAGAATAAGTTTTGTTGAATTCGATTTGCTTGGGAAGCTCGTATGTTGCTTCCAAACCACCATGAGTTATATTAAGCAAACTTTGGAATTTGCCTTGCCCTTCAACCTGTCCGGTTAAAGGATGAGTAAAAGATTTTTAAATTATGATTCACTTCAACCTGAAACTGGATATTGATGTATTCAATCTTCTTAATTTCCTTATTCGTGAGGTTTTTAATCGCATTCTTTAAGGATATTTTCATTCCAAAGATATCTGGCTTTACTCCGAATTGAAGAAATTCTAAATAAATGTTGAAGAAGAATTTTATTTGAATTTATTTTTTATTGTGACTTAATATTTTAATAATTTATAATTATTTTCTTATTTGTTTTGAGTTATGTTGTCCTCTGAATTTTTAATAATTTTATGTTCTTACTTTCTACGCAATTGGGTTTGCGATATCCCAAGACACAATTTCCACTACATTGATCTGCAACGTTGCATTCCTCTTTTCGTTCGCAAAAGCCGCACCTATAATTACATCCATATGTGCCCAAATTATCACACACTGAAAGTTATCATAAATTAAATTTAATCAACGTTAATACAATGAATGCTGTTCATTGCTGACCTTCCTCACAAGTTGGTCCGGTGTAAGGTCGCAAGCAGGAGCACCCATTGGGGTCACACAAAATGACCCCTTTGCAGTTATCATCTACGTCTGACGCGTTGCATCGATCTATTTGCAGACCATAGTTTATAAAGGGTTTGAGAAGTTCGAGAGTGGCAGATTTTAAAACTTCATTGTTGTAAAACGTGCTGACTTTGCGCTCCTTGACTCTCTGAGAATTTGTGGTAGTCGAGCAGGTCAGGGTCGAGTCGGTTTCTTGTTTTTCAATTATTTGATAATACATCTGCAACTCTATTTATTATAATAAAAATATTGGTAGATTGAATTTTTTTTAAATAATTTTCCTTACGTCCATTTTCGGGCGTGCAGTGTCTATTTAAAGTATAAAGGAAAAATCCGTCGTTTTCTGTATTATTTCCTTCAACTGATTGACTTCCACTTAGCTCAGCAGTATCGCCAGCCAAAATGAATTTGTTTCGCCACTTTCCCTCAGAGTTCTTATATAATAAACTAAAATCGTTAGTCACAATTATTATTTTACTTAAATCTTTTCTGACCGGTCTGATGAAATTCGTTATATTGCCATCAGTGAAATTATAACTTCTGGTAGTGTCAGTTACAAATTCAGCAACCCAGCAATTTTTTTCGTCAAGTTTATACGCAGCTCTCAATGTGCTGTATGTTCCATTGTAAAGATTTGGAGTTTCTGAAATAAAAAGCAAGAATAATTATGACGTTTCTTCAATCAGAAAGTCTAGCAACTTAAAAAAGGGAAATCATAAAATACCAGTCCATCTAAATTTCTTACCGTATATATGATATTTTATTTTGGCATTTTTATCCTGACTCTGAAACTTCACCGTCCAATCTTCTTGTATTTCTGACCCAGGAGGAAGTTTTATTTCGATGTGATTCCATCGATCAACAAAGAATTCCTAAGCAACAGTAAACTTTAGATTGATAGGCAAATTAAAAATAGCTTTTTAATATTTACCTGGATTTTCAAAACTAATTTTGGACCATCCTTATGATTTTTTGTGATGTTGATTTTTCTTTTCTTTTCTATAAGATTTAACCCTAGTTGATAATTATTGCCGTTCTTTGATAGGAATGTCAAGGTGCTATTATATTTTGCTAATAATGAAATTTTTAGGTTGGAAATGTTTAATTTTAGTTGTCTTTCTTTAAAATCGCCCGGAAGATCTGCATTAAATTTGTTTTAATAGTCATCTCAAAAGGATTTGATTTGAAAAACCTTCCCAGCGGTGATCCAGGATGAAACCAAAATCTGTTGCTGCCATCGATGAATAGTTTGAATTTGGTTTCTCCTTATCCTCTTCTCCATGACCACCCCTTGTGGGAGCGCTGTAGAAGTATCCAGCATCTATTTTGCTTGAAATATCTTGAAATAGGAATTGCTGCATAATTATATCCAAATTTTATACTAGTGCAACGCACTCGAGAAAGATAAAAGATGCGCTAACATATAGATTTTTGGCTAACGCTTTGGAATCTACGAAAAAATTCCTGATTTGCAGGCAAAAAACAAAAAAATTGTTTTCGACAATTGAACGTAAGCAATGTGATGTAACAATTTGGACAAATAAACAACAATAATTATGTTTGTTTAATTAATGAAAAGAATTCCAGTTGCGCTCCAAATTAAATTAGTACAACAATATGTACCGTATTTATTTTTATTAACGCTATATTTTGTATACTTATAAAACTTCGCCTGTACCTTTTGTCTCTCCATTTTTTTCTGAAGTCCAGTAAAGTCCCTCAAAAAGTTCGCTCTCCGTCCCATTTTCAATTGAGAAGCAGAAATATTGATCCACGATCGGACTCTTCACAAAGAACAAAGTTGATCCCTCTGTCCAATTTGCTAAGCACAGAAAGATGCAGCAAAAAGCAACCGCGTGAGCCACCATTTTTCGCCTACTAAAAGCTATTTAAAGGAAAACGGATATTTGAAAGATTTAGTTTAGACTTATCAAAAGCGGATACTGAAATTATTGATTAGCGCAGGGTCGTATTTATTTTACGGTTTTCCCCCAATAGATTGTGAATGGATTTTTTTCATTTTTCCTCCAATTATTAAAGTTGGGTTTTATAAAGTGTAATGCCTCTAATTCAATGGGAGTTTTAATGTTAATTACTTTAATTACCTGTTAAATTTCAGGTAGGAATGCAAATTACTCCCGTTTAAATATTATTGATTATTAATTTCTCTGGTAAAAACTGTAGCTTTTGTGGCATTAAACAAGAGACTAAATTATTTATTTAATTAGCCGGGATCCACTTAAAATATAAATAAAATGCAGGAGAAAAGTTTAATTAATTCTGTTGAATTAATTAGGGATTTTCTGTACCATGCAGAAACAATAAAGTTGCTCATCTCCACCGAGGAAGCCGGATTTTATTTCAACAAATATGACCACCTCGAGTGCCAAAAGGTTCCACAACAACAACTTCAAGAACCTATACAGAAGTATTATTGTTTTGTTAAATGAAATTAAATACACGTCATATTTGTCAATAAAATCAAAATAGAGCAATAAGAGCAAAATAGATCAATGATCAAATGAGCAATTCGGATCGAGAGTTTTCAATCACATTTCTTACACATCGCCGCGGCAGCGGCGGAGAGAGAGAAGGAAAGCAGGGGCTGCTGCTGGAGTTGCCGTGCTGCTGCTTCGGGGCGGCCGGAGGACCGCGCTGACGTCACAGCTACTCAGGGGCGCCTCGGAAGGGCGCAGGGTTGCTCAGGGTGGCCGGTGGGGCGTTTGCGCGTCTATTTGGAGTAGACGAGGTGGGCAAACTTGGCAAAACCCCGCTCTCGCAGTGTCACAAGGAAAACCACCCGAAAACCTGTGACGAGAGCCGAAACCGAGCCGAAAAGTCTCTCAAACTCACAAATCAGGCTAGTTAGAAATGTTCACTGGTTTCAGTTCAAAAATCGAGCCTGATAACTTGGAAATGCGCGCACAATTAATTTACAATGAAAAACAATTACAGTGAGATAAACTCCCGAGCGAGATGCACTCGGGGGCTGCTTGGAGCAAAGTGAAACTTCTTATTTTCAATACAAAAAATCTCTGCACAGAAATGGTCAGCGAGCGAGGCTAGTTTATATTACATTTGATTGGTTGGTCCTCAGGAGGGTGGGTTTTACCTCCTTTGGGCCTCCGTGCAGTTTGCGCTTTTCTTTCTCACGCGCTTCCTGCTTAAAATTCAGGTACACCAAAAACATCTTCAGAAAAATACATTCTTTCTTATATTATTTACGGATGGTTGTAAAAGAGAAATCTGGCGACGGCCAGACCGCGAACATCTGCACAAACGCACTCTTTGATTTCTTCTTCTTCTGCGTGTGGTCAAGGCAGATTATAAGGGTGAGCGCTGGGCGCGCTCTATTGTCCGGCGTCTCTCTCAGGTACCTGCTCCTGCAGGTACTCGGCCGTGCGGTCGTCCCATCTCTCACCGTTTCTCCTCTCTCATCTCTCATTATCCTAAATGCTCATATATTGACCATTGCTCTTAATTAAATTATAGACGTGTGAATTAAATAGTTGAATTTATATTGATGATTGCTCTTTAATTAGTCTGTTTAATTATTTTATATGAGATTTATGATCTTATAATCAGGTGAATATTTTAATTAAATTTTTTTTATAAGGTAGACAAGTAATGGTATATTACAAAAGATAAAATAAAAAATAAATTGTGTTCAACAATATTTTATACATCTTATGTAACCGAAATCAAGATACATTGTTAAAAATTAAAAAAAAAAAAAACATCATTGACAAGTGCTGAAATTGTACACATATGCAGTGATGGTTTGTACTCAACTACACAGTACATACATTAAGTGACGGACAAATTGTCCCTGTATGGCTTACTTAAGTCAGTTATTTATTTTAATTCCGGCGCGTGTCATTTGCTCGTTAATCCTCCAAAAAAAGTGGCAAAATCCAGTTGTAAATTTTCGGACACGTCCGCAACTTAAAATTTTATTAGAAATAATTATCGCAATAAATTATATACACAAATTAAATTAACAGTAATAATTGGTGTTGGCAACGAAACTAGGGGGTCCAGAGCCTTGGTGGGGCCTAGAACTTGAGCAGGTGCATGTTTGGGTGCCACGGAGCCTTTCGGAAAGGGGTGGCGCCCGGCGAGGAGGGACCGCGAAGACCTGGAACCTGGAAACGGATCTGGGCCCGGAAGGCCCCAGTGGTGCCCGCGCAGCAACACTGCTCTTCGCGGTCCCGCCCTCGTCAGTTGTATGCCTTTTGCCAAGCGTTCAGCAGCCGCACGCACGAGTGGAATCTGTGCAGCACCAACAACGGCAAACTTATCTGAAATAATTTAAAATTTCAATATTATTGGAAATTTCCAATTTAATTTTATAGATCTAATAATATCTATATTATTTCAAAACAGGTTTGAATGACAGCTAATTTTTTTTCTTGTGTTATAAAAATAAAATAGTTTTGTAAGTAAAATTTGATGATGGAGAGTAAAAATTTCTTCAAAATTATTTTAACTTGAATGAACTGATCAGATAAGCCGCTGATTTGAACTGAATTTGCAAAAATAAAGTATATAATTAATTAATTATTTTGCTAAAATCCATTCTCTAAATTGAAAAAGCGCTTCAAAAAAGTTTTCAACTCGCAAAACATCAAAATGTTTTTTTTTTTAATAAAAGAATCCAATTTTGAAATAAAATTTTAATTAAAGCAATAAAAATTAATCAAGATTAATATTTTGATGAGATAATTAACTAGATGCAGTACAAAAATGATATAAATCTTCAACGCTATCAATTTATGCTCAAAATATGGATGTAAAATTCTTACCCTGCTAATGACTCCCCACGTGAGCACGCCATAGAAGTTGAGTTGGAGCTCCTGCGAGATCCAACTGAAGGTGACCAGCGAGTCGAACACCCACATGACCCCGTTGAGGCACAACAGGCAGGTCACGATTTGCCGGCCTGGTCGCGCGATGATCTGGCCGCGGCTCGAGCACTGTCGTCTGCAAATCTCGTCCAGCATGCCGCTCTGCAGGGCCACGTGCAGCAGCTGGACGGCGCAGTACGCGATCAGGGCGCCGGCCCGACCGTCCTCAGGCGCGTCCGTCCGCTGCATTTCGAGGACGCGGCCCACGCCGGCGGCCAGGCTGAAAATCGAGTAGCTGACGACGCCAAAGGCGGATACTTTGGACAGCAGCCGGTCGATCCTGGGTGGCTCGCATGCCGAGGACGCAAGGCGACGGACCTAGAAATAAAATTACGTACAAAATTGATTTTTTGAGAATTTCTGTCGGAATTTAATTAATAATTTATTTAATTCCATTAACTGAGCATTTCAGTTTAAATTTAAAGATTTGAATATTTTAATACAAACTTAAACAGGATAAAAAAAATTGCGGCTGGATAAAAAGGTTAAAAATAAATTAAAAATTTTATTACAACAAAATCTAACTATTTTTTGGAATCTTAATTTTTTAAAGAAATAACAATTTTAATTTTATGAATAATTTTAAGACTTTGTTGCTTTCCCATTTCATTCAAACATAGTCAGGAGTCTTCAGTTATTAATTATTTTACCAATTTAAAAAAATTTAAACATAGAAACAATAAAATATTGTAATATAATAAAAGATATAGTTTTTATATTATCAAATAAATAATTACAAAAAAAGAATAATTCAATAATTCAAAGCATTTTATCATTCTCATTTATTAAAAAAAAAAAAAAAATTAAATTTCATTATTCTAATCAAGCCCTTTATTCACTTTGTCTGCTTAAAAAAAGCAATAATTTTATTAATAAATATATTGTACCTGAGCAATTCCGACGAGGGAAAGAGCAGCCGCCAGTGCAAGTATAGAGCCCTGGGTGCCGATCGAGAGCCAGAAGGGCAAATGTTGCGGGAAGTTGGGGTCGCCCTTGACGACGAAAAAGACAATGATGACCACAACTCCGGCCACGACGCACAACAGTCCCAAAAAGAGGCCTCGGCTGCTCGAATTGCAGTCGACTGAGCCCGAGCAAGAGCTGCTGGAGCCTTTGCTGCCGCCCTTGAAAATGTGCCTTCTCTGGCCCACCTTCAGACCCATCACGTAGGTCACGGCGGCCGAAATCACACTGAAATTACAAAACGAAGTAAATAAAAATCATTCGTACATTAATTGTATAAAATTTAAATTGCTTACCAGAATTGGACGATGAAAGGGGTGAGGAAGGGGGTTGCTGAGGTCCACAGTTGTCCAAGTGAGTTTGCATTCAGACACTCATGGAGACTGACCACTTGCGAAATGTGGTCTGCAGAAACTGGTGAGAAAGCTGCCAAGTGGGATGCATTTTTGGTCCAACCAGCTGAAAATTTTTGTTGAGGTTTTAGATCAACACAAATTACTAACAATAAGTCAAAATTCCATGATGGAAAATTGCATTTTAAAGCTCATTTAAGAAATTAAGATAATTCCAAATTAGAATATTTTTTATTCCTAGTCTCAAATAATCTCAAAATTGAATTATTTACTTATTTTAAGAGGGTTTTCTGATTATTCATGCTTGCAGAACTTATTTCAATTTTCAAGTTCAACTGTGAAAAATTGTGTAAAAATGAAATGTAAATTTACTCACTTCTGAGAGCTTCTGCCCTGGGGAAGCCCTTGAGTTCGAGGGGCGAGGGCAGGAAACTGGTGGTGGATCTTCCTCGTTGCTGGGCCTGGTGAATCGAGTAGATCCACTCGGTTCCACTTTCCCACACAATCAGACGCACCCACAACGCAACGTTGGTCGCGGCCAGGTGCATGAAGCCGAAACGCGCGGCTAAACCGAACCGCTCGACGACGACCTGCGAATTTCCATTGTTGAAAGTTGAATTTTCACATAGAAAAGAAAGTGCATAAAGTATTTCTCTTAATAACCAATCATACTAATAGACATAATTAAAAAAAAAATAAAAATTAAAAATTGATAAAAGATTGAGTTTCAGGTGAAGTTTAATGAGCTCATTGTCAGTAATAAAGTAATGAAGGCCGCTATTGTAATTAGACGTCCCAAAAATTGAGTTTGTATCTGAATTTACATATCTTATGGGTATCGTATTTAAATGCCAGATATATTGAAAAGAAATGCAGAGCAGCTCTGCTAGCTACATACGGAATTAAGGACTTGTATAAAACTTCGATTGACTGCTGATAAATTATTCATGTTAAAAATCTCCCCAATTGCGTCGAACCGTATTGAAATAGTCTGGCCTTATTTGAATAAACAGGATTTTGAGAATTCAGAACGAGTCAAGACAAGATACTTAAAAAACATTTTAGGAATGTCAAAATATAACAGGTCCAGATTAGTTAACGATCTTGTCAATGCAGATTTATTTATTAGTGATCTGAAATTAAAATATAGCTTGATGGAATCTGTGATTTTTGATAAATTCTATGACAGTAAAATTAATAACAAATTAATGATTAGCTTCACAAACTATGGAAATTGAAAACGTTATAAGGATGTTTAAGGCTTTCACTACATTAGCGTGTCATGGCTATCACTATTTTTATTGTTGCAACAAAAGTGTTCATTATGAAGCATGTGAGGATTGCTATTGTAAATTTTGTACAGGGAACTGCTCGCAGTATTTTTCTGACTTTTAGTGTAAAAAAGTTAAGCCTGCGTGAAGCAGCTAAGTATCTAAATATAAAAAAAATTTGTATTTTAATATTTATTTATGTAAGTTATTTGATTGTTTATTTCACTTGAACACCTGCTGAGTTTAATAAACTTCTCTTATCATAATAATTAATCTTATTTCACAAATTTATTATAGGATGTGGAAGATGAATAATCTTATAGCTTGAGACAATTTAATTAAAATTAAAACTTGTGAAAATTAATTTAATTTATAATTCCTAATGTATTTATTTTAAATTATTTCTTTTATAGAAATTGACAATTCTTATAAAACAAATTTAATTAAGAACATGTCCTCACCTGAGAATTGACAAAGAGGAAGTGCATCTGTAAAAAGGTGAAGAGTCCGTGGAGCACGGGGTGGACGAAAATGATGTCCGAGAGACACGAGGCGGTGCCGGTGGCGTCCATAGTCGAGTGCATGGCAACCTCAAGCCCGCTGAAGACCAGCGTCGCCAAACCAAACACTGAAACAATAATATTTCAAGTTAAACTCTCTCACTTGCCGCAAACAAAAGAAACTCGAAAACAAACATTTTACCCGCTCGGCTGCACCGATTTGAGTAAAAGTGCGTTTTTTTTCTGCCAGAGTGGTTTCGTCGCCAATTAGAAAATTTATTGTACTCACAAATGGCTCCGACCCTGATGTAGAAGGAGGTGCCCGTGGTTGCGGCGCGGTGGGCGCGTTTCAACGAGCCGAACCTGGTGAGCGGGTGCGGATTTTCGGCGTCGTCCGTCGTCGGCACATCGTCCTCGCTGTCGTATTCGCGCGACGAGTTGCCGGACAACGAGCCGCAGCTGTCGATCAGCACCCACACGTAAATGCACAGGATCACCGCGATTCCTCCAACGTACATGTACAGCAACAGGAAGCCCTAAAGATTTATAAACAATATTGATTAATTTGTCTTAATTGTCTATTTCATAGGATGAATCAACCAAAATTAAAATAGGACTTAATTCATCTCCTAATCATTAAGCTATTTATGTCAATTTTTTTCAACATTCTCTAGAAACTTATTGAAAATTGTTACATTTAAAAATCTAATCAATTAAAAATGCAATAAAGACGTGAAGAAAAAATATTTTTCATGAGAAATATTACTTTTTTATAAATAGTTTTCATTCAGTAAATTAGTGGGAAACACAAGTCTTAAAAATAAAATAAGTAAGACTTCAATTCAGATTTAAATTTCGGGTTGAGTAACTTACCTGCATGCTGAAAATGCGCACAGAGTTGTCCATGACTTCAATCAAACAAATCGCAAGCATGACCAGCACCAAAGCCTGGCCATAAAGGGAGCTCAGGGCAACCCATAGTTGTCGACTGGAAAAAAAAGGAAAATTATATTTAGAGATACAATTGAGAAATTTTATAATTGCTATTTTAACCCTGTTAATATACTTTATACCTTTTGAAGTGTTTTAAAAGGAATTTTTTAAAGAAGAAGTATTTTTACAATATTATGATTTGTGATTATCGTCCAATTAAAATCAGTCGTGCATTGATAAACATTTTTATTAATTAGATTGCGTGCAACTGTACCAATGCAGTGTCGACCAAGTCATAAACAAATTCTAGCTTTTGCATGTCTGCATATATGAAAACGGATCTCTTCAATCTCCTATTTTCATCTAGTTAACCTCAAAAAATCACGGAATACAAATTTTATAACACGTGATTAGCATTTTGGAAAGAGGTGATAACGCTAGAGTTTTATTGTCTGCGGCTGCTCTGCTTAATTGTATTGATTTATTTCTCCTGGGTGGTCCGTCAACACCTTGGCTTTTAGGTTTGATTATAAATGCATATATAAGAAAAAAGAAACGCACTCTGCACGCAGTATGTTAAAAAACCAAGTTTTCTAGTTTTCGGCAATAAAAAAGGAATATTTTTAGCTAAAAAATTTATGGACTACAAGCTCGGCTCTTTTATTTTCTATCGTTTAAAGAGACTTCTTGTTAACGGGCGGAACGGTTTGATTATTTTTATGAGCTTTTATGGAGTAATAAAAACAGTAACTAACACGAAAGTAATTTTTTAAATAAATATCACCTTTTTTAAAATGGAAATAAATATTTCATCACTATTTGCCTGCCTCAGTAAATAAAGTAAAATTTATATAAATAACAACTGCATAAAACGAATAATTATTAATATCTGATCTATATTATACGATCTTGATTGAGTTATTATTTTTTAAATGCTGGAATAATCTGTAATTTAATATATGTTGTCAGTTATTTTCAACTATACCCAAAAAAGGTATCTTTTCACCCAAAAAGGGCCAACATTTAGATTCACATTTTAGTTAAAAGAGTCTATTGTTTATTCAAATGAGCCAATTTTTCAAATTGTATCAATATTCCACAAATGTAGAGGATATTTAATTTTGATCTAAATTTATGATGGCTCACTGATTTCTATTTAAGCCTTTATTACATTTTTTTTTCTTTTGATTGAATTGTTAGCTTGAGGTTTATTAATGGGATTTATTAAAACACAATGAAAATAATTGTAGATATGGAATTTTGGTAGCAATGGTATAAAATTAAAATATTTCAAGACGTTCATTAGAATTTTTAAAAGCATCTCAATAAATCCTTACTATAGAAAATTATAAAAAAATTAATTCAGAGGCTCGCATGTAGCGAATCAGAATGTAATAATTTGCAATCACCAAGGAATTCTGGCTTGCATTGCTAGATTTTTTCAGCATTCGAGTGTAACTAATAATTGTGTTTAGTAAACGGGAATGTTTTCGGTAGCGTATTTAGATAAAAACACATAAAAAAGATATTTTTTTAAACCAGTTTTCCTTAGGAGCTGGACATGAACTATTTTTAGACTATGGTTTAGTTTATACTATTTTTGCCACGCACAGTGGTCGAAATAGAAACCGTTAACAGGTGAGCCTGAATTTAATTTGCGAAATTAGGCAACGCGCGCTAACCACTGGGCTTCATCGTCCCTAATAATTCTGATCCGTCATTATACGCAGGAGGCCGATCAGCCAAATTACAGTGTTCGTTCCGTATGTGTGCCACATTTCGGCATCATAATAATCACTCATCGACAGCCAGTGCATCTCTTAATAAAATTATCATCAAGAGACCGCATTTTACAGTTGGCGTCGACGCATAACAATTTTTACGATCCGAGCTAGAGAGAAATTAAAAGCTTCTGCAATTCGGTGTGGCTAGGCAGGCGTGACGCTCGATTAGAATGAATCTGCAAATCAATTGATAAATTCCCTCTTTATTTGTATTTGTAAAAGCGCATCTCGTCACTTTCTACTTTACTCGGATTTCCGCGGATGGCTGCGCTCATTATGGCACCGCACGCAATTATACTTGTACTCGAATTTACAGCTAGATGGGCAATCTCGATCGCTATCTCCGAACCTTTCTCCGCAGAAACAATGCTTGCTTTTGTGACGTGTGCCGACAACAAAGCAGAATTTTGTCTTATTTTCATAAATCATAAATCACGCGTCTGAAGAAAATTCGGTGTTTTGTCTCCGAGTTTTCGGCCGGAACGAAAAAGACAGCAGACGAATAATTTGGACTTTAATTGCCGCGTAGAAGGACAGAAGTAGGTAAATGAAAACATTAATGTATTGCGCTCTCGTGCAATGGAGGAAATTGTTGTTATTCCGGTTCAAAGTCTCTCCTTTATGCATTCGAGCAGAGAGATTTCCCCGAGACGTTTAATGTCGTTTCAATATCTTTCGAGGCACAGCTAGATTTTTGAAAAAGAAACGAACGAGCTTTTATCACTGTTTATTATTTTGAGCTATATATTTATTTACGTTCAAAGCGGAATCTAAATGGAGAGCAATCATTGAAGCAGAAAAAGCTTTCAAGTAATTAAAGAAGAAAAAATATTAAATTTTATAGTGGATTCTAAACAAACACAAACTGTTTAATTATCAATATTATATTTTCGCCGAATTTTTGCTCTAAAGGCTTCAAGGCTTATTTTTTTTTCAATCTCTAGCATGGCAGCTAAATAATGAAAAAGGATGTGGATTTAAAATGAGCAAATTTGTGGTTGTGAAACGAAATTATAAATTATAATTATATAAATCCTCTCACCAAACGTTGCAAAGATTTTAAAGGAAAAAAATGCGAAAAATTCACTTTTTTTTCTCTTTGTTTAAAATTATGATCATTTTGTGTACAAAATATTTTATTAATATAAAAATAAAATTCATTTTACTATGTTTTTAACTTTAATGCGTAGAATTCCTTTTCGGTTTGAGGAAAAATCAGTAATCATTGTTATAAATTTGAGAATCTCAATTTTATAAACATTAATACCAACTTAATTATGTCATTCTTTCAATCAAATCTTACATTATGCACCAAAAATTTAAGAAATTTAATTTCTTCCATTTATTGGAAAGGATGATATTGAATATTTAATAACCTGTTAATAGTTCATATCGTAAAAAAGCCTTCATTCCTTTCCTTTAGTTGCAAAGTGTCTTTATTGATTCCTATATCATTTTTAAAAACATTTACTCGGGTCTCTTTATTTTAAACTTTCTGATCATTTTCCACGAAATTTGCAAAAAAAATCGGCCTCAAATGGAAAATATATAAATTATTAATAGCAAAGGAATTACTCACAAAGGTTCTGCTCTGTCGACCATTTCAGTAGATTCGATGGTTTTCCTTCTCAAAATCCTGAGCAGCGAATTCCTGACTGGCGAGTGCGCCGCGACACTGACTTTTGGCGACGACGATGTCGAATCTCTTTCGGCGAGGGTAGCAAGTCTCTTGGGGGTTGTGGTTGATGCGGCCGAGGGTCTTGGCAGAGACGCGTTCAGACTATCCTGCTCAGCCAAACTGTGCTGGTGATCATTGTATACTGCAACATACCAAATTAAACTTATTTAACGTGTACATTAAAAACATTTTATTAATCTTTAATAAAAGTTTTTGCATGAATAATGTTTATAACATATTATTTTAGTTTAAACTTTTAAATATAAAATTTATTCATTTGATTAAATTTATTTTTCAATTAATATTGGACATTTTTATCAATTTTTACCCAAGTTTCAAAGCAAAATTTTATTTAATTTTATCATACAGTTGTGTCAGAAATTTAATTATCATCTCTTGAACTCTGTATCTTTGTTGGCAAAGCCGAATTATAAATATTATTGCGGACCGTCATTAAAAGCGAATTAATTCAAATTTTAAAATATCTGTTCCAAAAAAAAAACTGTCATCTTCAATTTTTTTGCTCGTTTATTTTGGTTGGCGGTGTCACGCTTGTTAATTTGCGTGTGACGTCACTGACAACAAATTCACAGCATTTGTGCGGCGTGGATTATTGGGCTATGAAATGTATCAAGCGCCGGCAAAATTATAGCCCAAATAGCGGCTCACTCGCGTGCCCCGATAAAATCTCATCACGGTTTCCCTCGCGAGAGTGCAGTTTCTAACCGCTCAAGTGCATCAAAACAAAAAATAATTTATTAAAATGCTCTGGCGCGCTTTAAGTGAAAAACTGCAGCTCCGTCGTCAATTATTATTTCTTGCGTCAACAAAGTTCCTTCCGATCATAGAGAAAAAAAAATTAATTCCACGCCTCCGTGATTGCTTCAAATTACATGGTGCGCCGGTAGTTTACTTTTATGACCACCTCGGAGATTGCAATGCCCGAATTTATTATGGGCCCAAATTGACGGATATTGCCGCAAATTAGAGAGTTTTGTTTCAAAACTCGCGGCTTCTTCTGTTAAAAAAGGCATAAAACATGCAACATAAATCGTAACGGCAAACTAGGCGTAGTGCATTTTTATTTTTAAGAATCTAAGTCAACCAAGACCGACTGCGAACTGCGACGGATCATCTCGGGAGTTTTAGCAAAATTCTTGTTAGTATTGCCGTTTTTCCAAATCCTTCAACCAAATTTTTGTTTTCAAAACTGCACGTAGATGAGAATTTTTCGTTACAACATGGACAAAAATACGTACAATAATAATAATAATAATAATAATAATAAGAATAGTAATAATAATTAATTTATTACTTACTCTCCATTTCAAAAGATTATAATAAAAAACTGCAATTCTGGTTCAGTTGTTGTAATCTGAAGATACGATTTTATTTAATTTTACATTGAGACTGATAGAATTTTTTTATTAACAAATCTGCAAAAATTTTATTTGCAATTACAAAATAAACGAACATAAATTTAAGTTCATTGCTTTCATAAGGAAATTTGGTTATTCTAATTGGACAATCAGATACAGATTTAAGATTATGCAAATGTCGCGCAAAGTATCAACACCACTTCTCTAAATTAGCCAAGTACGCAAATAAAATTACCTTCTCCATTTACGTGTCAAGTGAAAAAAGCACATTTAACTATGTGAGAGGATTAACAAATCAGAGCAGAAGATGGGACCAGTTTTATTTGGTTGAAGGAAAAAACCTTAATAAAATTTTCATTGCCTCTCAAGTTGACCGTTCGTCGGCCGGTAGTCAATTTGAGCCGCCCTCGGCAACGCGTCCATACTAATTTGCCGTGCCTCTGCCTAACGACGTTGAGTATAATAATCATAATAATTCAATCAAAACGAGAAGAATCTCAAAAAGGCCACGTCGCACTTATTTTAAAGATAAAAATATTAGCACGATTTTCCAATCAATTGCTTAAGGAACAATTTATTAAATTTAGTTTCTAATCAAGCTTGCTCTTAATTCCATCGGTTGGCAAATTTATCACATCGAATTACGCCCCAGATCTGATTCACAGAAAGAGCTAAATGTATACGGGCAGCTTTAAGCTAAATAATCGTAATCACAGAGCTATAAATCGCAGTGTCCAACCGGCACCTTTTTACACGTGTTAATTTCTGGTCCAGGCTGACAGAGAAACACGCAAAAGGAAAATGACTTTTTAATTTTTATACGCATAGCTTCGAATTTCAACACGTGTGTGGTTTGAAAAATCACATCAAATCACCAGCTTGAGATAATAATGGACCCGACTTGATTACTTTGTCCCGAAAATGAGGACATTTGTCATGCATAGAAGGCAGTGGTGAAAATTGCGCAATTTCTTTTTGTGAGTGATAGACACAGACTAATGACCATAACCACCAATTTATCTTCAGGAGTGATTGCTGATTTAATTTTTAAAGATTTTAATTAATGACTTCAGAGTAAGTAATCCAGAGCAGCGGTCTAAATTTTAAACACGCCTAACTTATTTTGGGCAGGGCTTCACTAAATGTAAGCAAAGAAATTAATCAACAATCTTGAAATTTGGCTTTATTGTTTCTTCAAATATTTAATACTGCTTTAAAAAATTTGATGTTAAACTTATTTAAAAAATTATATTGTTATTAAATTAAATAAATTCTAAAATAGGCAAAAAAATCAAGTGTTTTTATTTATTTTAAAATTGTAATCTTTCATCTACTTCCAATGAAAATTTAAAATTTATTCTAATCTTCTTTGGGCAATATTGCGATATTTTATTCTATTATATAATTGATGCGTTATCTTCTAAAACCAAAAGAAGTAGAATTATAGATGAAATCTTTAAATTATTATCCACATTTACATAATTACTTTATCGATTTTAAAAACGGCTTTTCCTCAATGGGTTTTGTGAGTTGTTTATTGTTTTAGAAAAAATATTATCCTACTCTACATGTTTCGACTGAGGGCTTAATTCGTGAGCGTTCTCGGCGGTGGTCAAGATATAATAAACAACTCACAAAACCCAGCGAGGAAAAGCCGATTTTAAATTCAAATCACCATGAATCAACCCTCTATCCTGAAATTCTACCACAAAAATACTTTATCTAGTAGATTTAACTGTTATACAGTTTGCTGATTTGATGTGAGAAATTATTAAAAAGAAATTGAAACTTTTGGAGTTTAGAACTGAATTTTTTTTTTTAAATTAATGTTCTAATGTAACTGGAATGTTAAGAAAACAGGATCGCTTTGTCGAAAAATTCCTTTCCTTTTGGCGAATAAAAAGAAAAATTGTGTTTTAAACTCTGGGTTAATTTTATCATAATATCATGGTTCAGATTCAGAACCGCTTAATTTAAAGATAATTTTTAATACATCAGAAACATCTTAAAGATCTCATTTCCATTGAAACATCATACTATAAATTTGATCTTTTTTTTAAATACATTTTCTCATTTGCCAGCTTCTCAAAATAATTTTTTTATCAAAATCCACCCAACTAAAATTGTTTCATCATCATCAATCCAGGCAAAATAAAATTGATACCCTAAAATGTAATTGATACTAGTTAAATTGATTGATTGCATCGCGGACATACCCGATTCAATGACATCCTCCCTTGTGGGCCACTTTTTCTCGGCGCCCCTGCCTTTTTTCTTAAGGTAAATCCTATCCTCGGTTCGTTCTTCGACCATCTCGACGCGCGTCAAACTTTGGAACCGCGAAGAGCACACCGTGTCACATGTCGCAGTCGACACACATTTCCTCGTCGAACAAAAGAAGAACAAAAAAACTGCAAACTCGGAGCTAAGAGATGCGTTCGGCGACGCGTCCGCGAGAGAACTGCGCGCGCCAGAAGCGTCAGGGCCATATGGCGCGTGTAAAACAAACTGTTTCGCGAGAACCAGAGGAGGGAGCGGAGAAAGAAGAAGACCCGCACCATTCTTTCTTTCTTCTTGGGCCGCTGAAGACGCTCAGGAGAGAGTTGAACGAACTGAATTGGAAGCAGAAAAGTCCATAAGACACGCGGCCTTCCACACTGTCGCGAATGCATGTAACTGACCACAAAGTTAACACAGAGATTCGATCTGAATTTCTAATTTAATGCCGACTATCGAGGCCACCGTCTGGCCTGGACGACGAATTTTAATCAGTTTTTTTTCTTTCAATTTGTCGCCGAATTTTTCGTGACCAATCGGTGCCAATATTGGCTTTCGCGACTGCACGTGATTGAATTGGGAAAAAAGTGGCATTATTTGTGGACACGACCAGATTTTTAGGGCAGTGCGTGATATTATTTGGCCGAACCTCATTGGGTCGCCAATTGCCTAAATTAAAATGCTTCTACTATATTACAATAATTACCAGAAAAATTCTTCAACCCCCAACTTTTTCTGCATCTTGATTGAAAAAATATACATTTTTATTCTGAAGTAATTAAATTCAATCTCATTAATTACTAAAATTAGATAGAAAGAAATAAACAGAAGAGTAAAAAAACATATTCAGTCCGCCTGTTATCATAATTTTTTCAGTGTTTTAATTGTTTTATAATTGCAATGTAAGACAACTTTCCTCAATTAATTTGAGATTTAAATTTTTATCAAAAGGAGATCCCATTTATATGAAGCTGATTTAAGTTTCTGAACAGATTTTGATTGCTCTAAAAACTATTTTACAGGTACTCGTCTGTGACTGTGATAATTTTTCGCTATAAAAATTAAATAGATTAATTCATAATAATTTCCAACTGAGCTAAAACGCAAGTTAAGTAAACTGGAATGCGCTTGTCCGATTTATAAAAATAACATTTGTATAAAATTACTTAATTCAATAAAGAAAGAAGATTGATCTTGCCAATTTTTTTTTCCTTTTTGTAATGAAATTGATGTAATATTTGCACAAAAACTTATTCACAGCGAGCAAAGGATGTAACAAAATTAAAAATTTTTGTATATCATGAATTTTGTAGATTATAAAATTTCTCTATCGTTCTTTTGTATAAAAAAAATTGAAGTGTAAAATGTTTCCAATTAACAGCAATTCTCTTCAGAAAGAAAAACACTTTCGTTGCACTCACCCGTGGTTTCTTTACGTAGTCGCCCGTTAATTAAAGTGGCCCAATTATCTCAAGCACAACTGTTT